AGGGTCCCCTGAGCACCACCAGGAGTGATTCTTGAATGCAGAGCCAGGAGTCAGCCCTTCGCATCGCTAGGTGTGGCCCCCCAAAAAAACAAAAAAAAATATTGAAAAGTCCAGAAGCTCAGAGCAGAACGGGGTCACACTCTGGGCTCCGGGCTGGGGGCCCCTCTCAGGCCTCTCGAGCCCCCAGGGGCCACTCTAATCCTTTGTCTCTCCCTCCTGCAGGCTGGGTGGAGAAGGAGACGTACTACTGAGCCCGCCTCAGCACTGGGGGCGCGGGAGAAGGACGTCGAGGCACGAGGGGCCGGGAAACACGGGGAGTGCCGGGGGGGTTAAGGGAGACGCTTGGCCCTGACTAGGGTCTGGCGCCCACCCGGGCCCTCTCCTGGGTTTCCCAGCCCCTACCCTGCAGCCTTCCCCGGAGCAGATGATTGGACGGGAGTCACGGACCCTGTGCTTCCCCCATCACCATCCTGCAGCCCCTTCCCCCACCTCGACTCCGAGGCCACAGTGCTCCCTAGGCTGGGCCCGAGTCCACAAGGTCTGCTGAAGGCTGGGACAGGCAGTGAGGATGTGCCTCTCGTGTCCTTTGCTATCCATCGTGGCCACTGGAAACTGCCCAGGGCCAGAGACCACTAAGGAGCTAAGGACGCCCACCTGGGAGGCCCCCGGAGGGGTCCCAACGGCTCCCTGGTCCTCCCACCCGCACTCCACGTCCACCTACTGAACCCGCCAGCCCAGACTGTCCCCAGAACCCCAGGGTCCAGGGCAGGGCACGAGTGGACCCCGCGGCACGTGGAGACCCCAGCCCGCCCTCGCGGCTCTGCTCCCATCTCTGGCGTCCTGTGGTGGGTGGGCAGGGAGGGAGGGACCAGCTCTGGGCGCTGGGGGGGCTGTGGAGGAGCAGCTCAGAGGCCCGGGAAGGCGTTTCCCGAGAGCGTGCTGGGGACCGTAGACGCATTCATGTAGGAGTAGGGCCGCCGTAGTCTCGCTCGCGCTATACTCAGACAATAAAGTTGCATTTTTGTGAATCACGCGTCCCTCGCCGGCCGGGCTGTGGCCGGACGCAGCTGCTGGAGGAGAAGAGAGGGCTGGACGTGGGTGGGCGGGCAGGCGGGAGGCCCCCTCGAGGAGCAGATGGTGTCCCAGGAGAGACCCGGAGAGAAAGAAGTTTCTGGAAGCAGACAGAGTCAGGGCCTTCTTCCTGGGGGCCACACACGGTTCCATCCAACACAGCAGCTGATGCGGAGGGGAGGGGGAGGAGTGAGGGCGGGAGGGGGCAGGTGCCGCGGGGAGGGGAGAGGCGGGGAGGGCTTGGCAGGCCTCCACCGGGATGTGGGAGGAGAGGTTCTTCCTGACCTCAGCCAGGAGCGGCCCCCGGCGGGCAGAGGCCGAGCTATTATCTAGAGCAGGGCTCTGGGTGGCCCTACTGGTCACAGCCGTAGCAGGACGGGAGCAGGGACAGTCCTGCTGAGTGTCCCAGTGGCATCGGGAATCTTCCGCGCCTCCCGCCCCCCCCCCCCACACACACACACACTCCCTGAAACCTGTTACAGTAGCAGCTTTGAACAAGTAGCAACTGGGCATAGCCAAAGCCACCTTCGGTGGGACCCGCTCCAGGGGGACGTCTGTGGGTGTCCTGCCCACGAGCCAGCGGCCAGCATCCCCGAGGAGGAAGAGGAAATGCCCTTGGGACCAGGCCTATGTCTGCTTCCGCGTGGACAGCAGAAGACGGGAGAGAGCAAAACGGGGAGGGGCTGGAGTGACAGCACAGCGGGGAGGGCGTTGGCCTGGCACGCGGCAGACCCGGGTTCGATCCCCAGCATCCCATAGGGTCCCCCGAGCACCGCCAGGAGGAATTCCTGAATCAGCTGGGTGTGACTCCAAAAAAATTAAAAAAAAAAAAAAAGAGCAAAGCCGGGATGCCACTGCACTGAGTGTCCGAGTCCTGGACAAGGCGGACGTGCGGAGAGAGGTCAAGGCGAGGCCCGTGATGCTGAGATAAGAGCAAAGGCCGGGCCTCCTGCGGGCAGAGACAAGCTCGGCCCTTTGAGCCATCGCCCTAGGCCCAGGCTGCAGTTTTAGAAAATAAAAACCGGGGATGGAGTGATAGTGCTGTGGGCAGGGCGTTTGCCTGCAAGATGCCGACCTGTGTTCCATCCCCGGCATCCTGAAGGGTCCCCCGAGCACTGCTGGGAGTGATTCTGGCTCCTGCCAGGAGTCGGTCCTGAGCATTGCTGAGTGTGGCCCCAAAACAAATGAAAAGGAAGGAAGGAAGGAAGGAAGGAAGGAAGGAAGGAAGGAAGGAAGGGAGGGAGGATGGAAGGAAAGAAGGAAGGAAGGAAGGAAGGAAGGAAGGAAGGAAGGAGCAAGGAAGGAAGGAAGGAAGGAAGGAAGGAAGGAAGGAGGAAGGAAGGAAGGACGGAAGGATGGAAGGAAGAAGGAAGGAAGAAAGGAAGAAGGAAGGAAGGAGGAAGGAAGGAAGGAAGGAGGAAGGAAGGAGGAAGGAAGGAAGGAAGGAAGGAAGGATGGAAGGAAGGAAGGAAGGAAGAAGGAAGGAAGGAAGGAAGGAGGGAAGGGAAGAAAGAAAGAAAGAAAGAAAGAAAGAAAGAAAGGAAGGAAGGAAGGAAGAAAGAAAGAAAGAAAGAAAGAAAGAGAAAAAAAGAAAATGCATTCCTAAATATGAGAGAGGAGAGGGAGAGAGGAGAGACAGGAGAGAGAGGGAAAGAGGTAGGAGAGAGAGGGAGGGAGGGAGAGAGAGAGGAGACAGAGAGAAGGAGGAAGAGGGAGAGGGAGAGACAGAGAAGGAGAGAGAGGAAGAGGAGACAGAGGGAGGGAGGGAGAGAGAGGAGAGGAGGAGGCGGAGGGAGAGAGGAAGACAGAGAAAGGGAGGGAAAAAAGAGAGGGAGAGGGAGAGATGGAGAGAGAGGAGAGGCAGGGAGAGAGGAAAAGAGAGAGGGAGGGAGGGAAAGAGGAGAGGGAGAGGAGAGAGAGGTAGGGAGAGAGGAGAGAGAGTTTGAGAGAGAGGGAGAGGGAGAGAGGGAGAAACAGAGAGGAAAGAGAGAGAGGGAGGGAGAGAGGGAGAGAGGGAGAAAGGACCTAGGAGACAGTACAGTGGGGAAGTTGCCACAGGTGGCCGACAGGTTGGACCCTGGTGCCCCAGGCAGGGCGAGCAGAGCCCCTGAGGCAGGAGCGAGCTTGGACACTCGAGGTCAGACTGAACACAGTGAGCGTCCCGCCAGGCTGAACACAGTGACTGTCCCGCCAGGCTGAACACAGTGACCATCCCGCACCGCCAGCAGAGAAGGGGCAGGACTAGGGTTTTGACGTGGCCCTTTCCACGGAGAAGACAAACAAATGGGCTGCAGCCCCGAGCCCAACCCGGAGGCAGGAGAGTCGTCCCCTGGCCGAGCCCTGCCCTGCGCGGGCAGAGGCAGGCGCTGGGGAAGGAGCCGGCCGTGCGCAGGGCTGGTGAGCAGAGCCAGGAATGAGTGTGGGAAGGCGGCGGGGCGGGCTGGCACGGAGTGAACCGAGCAGCTGCAGCCGTGGGCCGGGACCGTGGGAGAGACAAGCTGCAGCCGTGAGCGGGACCCCACGGGCGCGGGGGCCCGCGCTTTACAAACACCATCACGGCGTCCACGGAGGGAGGCCACCCGCGCCCGGGCAGATGCGCAACGCCCTCCCGAGCACAGCAGGCTGGAGGCGGGCAGGGGACCCCACCCTTCGCACCGCCCCACCCTCCAGCTGGGATCCCGGCACAGTGTGGGGGGGTGTTGGAGTACAAGGAGCTTCGGTCTATCAGGTTGCACCCATCACAGTGCTCCCGAGTCATTCCCATTACTTTGTAACTTTTTTGTTTTTTTTTTTGGTTTGTTTTTTTTTTTTGCTTTTTTGGGTCACACCCGGCTGCTCAGGGTTACTCCTGGCTCTGCACTCAGGAATCACTCCTGGCGGTGCTTGGGGGACCATATGGGATGCCGGGGATCGAACCCAGGTCGGCCACGTGCAAGGCAAACGCCCTACCCGCTGTGCTATAGCTCCAGCCCCTGTAACCACTTCTTTGTGCTCCCTTCCCCAACCAATTTGTAAGGTCGGATCCTTCTAGGACACTAAACTTGTACTGTAGTTAAAAAAAAAAAAAAAAAAAGGAGGTATGCCCTGTTTGACTCCTTGTCCTTGACGTTGTTTTCTTTAAAATTTTGAATTTATCTCAAGGGGAGCCGTATACAGCAGCTGAAAGACATTTCCAAGAAGATGCACAATCTCAGGAAACTATTGATTCTCCTATTTGGATTAAAATTCACAAAGTATGGGGCTGGAGCGATAGCACAGCGGGTAGGGCGTTTGCCTTGCACGCAGCCAACATGGCCGACCCAGGTTCGATTCCCAGCATCCCATAGGGTCCCCCAAGCACCGCCAGGAGTCATTCCTGAGTGCAGAGCCAGGAGCAACCCCTGAGCATTGCTGGGTGTGACCCAAAAGGCAAAAAAAAAAATTGACAAAGTAATAGGAATGACTCGGGAGCACTGTGATGGGTGCAACCTGATAGACCTAAGCTCCTTATACTCCAACGGAGGGGGGGTGCGGGGAGGGGGGGCAGAGAGGCATCAGCACTGCCCACACAGGCCCGGCTACCCCTCCGATGGGGACTGGGGGCCCGACTCGAAGGACGGCTGAGTCCAGGCACTGGGGTGCCACAGTGAGGATAGCCCCCCCCCCCCCAGGAAACCTGAGAACCTTTGTGATGTCAAGATGTGGGGCTGGAGCCCCGCCCTGACCAGCCCCTTGGCGTCCTTCCCACCTCCCACCCCAGCCACGGGTCATCTCTCTCTCCTGTCCCCCACGGCCGTCCCCTCCACTTCTAAGGCCCCTTCCAGAATTCTCAGGCTGGGTCCCTCCATCCTCGCCGTCCTCCTGCACCAGGGGCCTGGGCACGGGCCACAGGGAAAGAAAGGGGCCACAGAGCCGTGGGGGACACCTTCCCGGCAGCCCACCCGGCCAGCATGGAGGCCAAGGAGGAGGAGAGGGAGCCCGTGGTCAGCCCTTCCCATGGGCAGACCTTCAGCAACATGCAGGCCAGGAAGAAGTCCAGTTCCAGCAAAAAAGTCAGGCAGCTCAAGTACAAAGAGCAGAACCTGGAGGCACTGAAGAAGGAGGCGACCATGGTAAGCGGCCGGACACAGGCCCCCGGCGGCCACTCTGCCCTTAACCCCCAAGCTCACGCCTGTCTCTCCCCGCAGGAGGACCACATGCTAAGCCTGGAAGAACTCAGCGCCAAGTACTCCGTGGACCTGCAAATGGTAGGTTTACAGGGGTTCCCCGCAGACAGAGCCGTGACCCCCGAGCCAACCACAAACACTCCCTGGTCACCCCAAGGGGCTTCCGTGCAGGAGAGGAAATGGAGAAGCGGTCCTTCAGAGCGGGCCCTCGGCCGCTGCACCGCTCACATCTTTGTTTTTCTTTTTGGGTCACACCCGGCGATGCTCAGGGGTTCCTCCTGGCTCATGCATTCAGGAATGACTCCTGGTGGTGCTCAGGGGATCCTATGGGATGCTGGGAATCGAACCCGGGTTGGCCACGTGCAAGGCCAACGCCCTCCCCGCTGTGCTATTGCTCCAGCCCCACAGCTCTTTATGGCAAGCGGCTCTTAGGGGGGCCCCAAGGAGGCCCCTGGCCCTGGCCCGAGCCCTTGGCCTATTGTCCGCCCAGACTCTGGGTTCTCAGATACTTTGCACAAAGAAGAAATTGTGTTGCCGGGAGAGAGGGCAGCGGGGAGGGGGGCTGGAAGGGCGGCAGAGTCTCTGTGCAATCGTGAGAATGGCCTGGGCGCCCAGACGCCCCCAGGGGCTGGAGCGATAGCCCAGCGGGGAGGGCGTTGGCCTGGCACGCGGCTGACCCAGGTTCGGTTCCCAGCATCCCAGATGGTCCCCCGAGCACTGCCGGGGTAATTCCTGAGTGCAGAGCCAGGAGGAACCTCTATGCATCAGTGCGTGTGACCCAAAAAGAAAAAAAACAAAACCAACGACGCCCCCAGAAGCAAACTCCAAGCATCACTGGCTCCCGCCCCCTTATACACACACACACTACGGGTCCCGCTCACGGCCGCTCTGTCCTGGCCCACAAGCACAGCAGGGCTGGACTTAGAGGCTTCATCGTGTCCACCCGAGGGTGACTGCCTGATCACCGGGGGCAGCAGAGGCTGCTTCAGGTTTTGGGTCAGCGTGGTTTTCTCTCCAGCCCTGCCCACGTGAGGGGCCCCGGGCCCCAGGCGCAAAAGTCAGGGAGGCAAGTTGGTGCATGTCCCCTGGGGGTGCTGAATCGTCCCCACGACCTGTGCCTCCCCTGCCAGGGCCACACCCACACCACAGCCCAGAAGATTCTGGAGCGCGATGGCCCCAATGTGCTTACGCCGCCCCCCAAGACCCCCGAATGGATCAAATTCTGCGAACAGATGTTCGGGGGATTCTCCCTTCTGCTGTGGACTGGGGCCATCCTCTGTATCGTGGCCTACTACATCCAAGTCCAAGTGAACCAGGACACCACGAAAGACAACGTGAGCGCAGGCGGGTGACCCCCACGCAGCCGCCCACCGCACAGGGGGTCCACACCAGGCAGCTGCCCTGCCCATCCCACACAGTGACCCCGGACCCACAGGCTGACCGAGCAGGGCTGCTCAGAGCTGTCCCCCCTTACCACCCTTTTGCACCCGAGAAACGCATCCTGGGCCAGTGCCCTCGGATCCCAGATGCGGTTGACTCTGGTTTTCGTCTTGGCATATTCAGACGAAAACTTGCCAGGTTTTCTGTGCAGCCCTGCCAGGCCCTTTCGACGTAGATTCCATCGGTTAGGAAAGTGAGGGTGAGGCTGGAGCACAGTGGGGAGGGCGTTTGCCGTGCACGCCGTCAACCTGGGTTCGATCCCCGGCATCCTGTAGGGCCCCCCGAGCACCGCCAGGAGTGACTCCTGAGTGCAGAGCCAGGAGGAACCCCTGAGCATCACTGAATGTGACCCCAAAAGCAAAAAAAGGGGGGCTGGAGAGATAGCACAGCGGGGAGGGCGTTTGCCTTGCATGCGACCGACCTGGGTTTGATTCCCAGCATCCCATATGGTCCCCTGAGCACTGCCAGGAGTAACTCCTGAGTGCAGAGCCAGGAGTCAGCCCTGTGCATCGCCAGGTGTGATCCAAAAAAAAAAAAGTGGTGTGGTTGGTGGGGGAGAGAGTGCAGGGTGGAAGGTCACTTGCACCCCACTGATCCCGGTTCAAATCCCCGACTGGGCGCAGGGTACCCTGAACACCGTCAGGAGTGTCACTCCTGAGCACAGAGCCGGGAGGAAGTCCTGTCACGTGTGCCTCCCCCTCAATAAAACACACAGGACAAAATGAAAATGAGAGCAAGCCGGGCTGGAGTGATAGCACAGCGGGCAGGGTGTTTGCCTTGCACGTGTCTGACCGGGGTTCGATTCCCAGCATCCCATATGGTCAAGGAGTGTTCCCTGAGTGCAGAGCCAGGAGGAACCCCTGTGCATCGCCGGGTGTGACCCAAAAGCAAATGAGAGCAAGCAACCGTGGCTCCCTGAGGGCATGATGCCCTGGTTGCTTTTCCTCTCTGGACTTTCCTCCCGTCCCCCCCAGCTGTACCTGGGCATTGTCCTGGCCTCCGTGGTCTTCATCACCGGCTGCTTCTCCTACTACCAAGAGGCCAAGAGCTCCCAGATCATGGAGTCGTTCAAGGACATGGTGCCCCAGGTATGGGCTACAGAGGCAGCCGGCCGGGGTCTTGACAAGACCCTTGAGTGGCTGGAGCTACAATGGGATTTGCTCATCTGTGGTCCAAGTTCCCCAGAGGACAGTGGGGGTCAGTGGCAGCAGCATGTGACTGCCCTTGTGGCAGCTGGAAACCCCCAAAGAGAACTTCTGCTCAGTCAGGGAGGGTGCTGGGGGCTCCTGCATCCAGGAGAGCTGGGATGCAGCGTGGGAATGTTCCAGAACAGAGGTGGAGAAGCAGGGCAGGTGGAGACTGGCGTCCACATATCCTGCGGTCCTTCAGCAAGTCAGAAGACGGGGTGACGGCAGAGGGTGGGCCAACTGGGTTGTGGGTGTCCTGGGTGCATGAGGCAGGGGCTGCCAGCACTGTTTAGGGGTCCCTGCTCATTGCTGGGGATCAGAAGCTGGGCCTCACCAGGGCTGGAAGCCTCAGACAAGTCCCCAAACAGTCTTGGGATGCTGGTACCTTTCGGTGGCCACAGCGACTCAGAGTTGGGTAGAAGTAGCTGGCAGTAAGAATGACTCAAGCTTCACAAACTGGCCTTTTCCGAGGTGGCTGGGCCCCACCGGTGACCACTCAACGGTGCTGGCTGGTCTGAGCCCAGTAGGAAGTGGGCACGGGGCAGGGATAGCGGGATGCCAAGGTCCAGCCTCTGTCTGTGCCCCGTGGGGGCGGAGGGGGACGCAGAGTCAGGCCCACGTGAGGGAAGCAGACCCTCGCAGCCCTCACCCCAACCCCGAGGCCATGGCGGGCCTGGAGGACGCGTTTTCGGGGAGAACCGGTGGAGAAGCCCCGATTCCGCCCTCTGCCCGCAGCAAGCGCTGGTGATTCGGGAAGGGCAGAAGCTAAACATTGGCGTGGATAAAGTGGTTCTGGGCGACCTGGTAGAGGTGAAGGCCGGCGACCGGATCCCGGCCGACATCCGACTCATCTCTTCACAAGGCTGCAAGGTTAGGGTGCAGGGTGCAGGGGTGGAGCCCCAGGGCAGGGTGCGGGGTGTAGGGGTGGGGTGTGGGCACAGGGTGCAGGGAAGGCTCCAGACAAGGGACAGGCAGGGATGCCACCTCTATACAACCCTTCTTCTTCTTTTGCTTTTTGGGTCCCACCCGGCGATGCTCAGGGGTTCCTCCTGGCTCATGCACTCAGGAATCACTCCTGGCGGTGCTCGGGGGACCCTATGGGATGCTGGGGATTGAACCCGGGTCGGCCATGTGCAAGGCAAATGCCCTCCCCGCTGTGCTATCGCTCCAGCCCCAAGATGGACTTTCTTTTTTTCTTTTTGGGTCCCACCCGGCGATGTTCAGGGCTGACTCCTGGCTCTGCGCTCAGGAATCACTCCTGGCCGGTGCTCGGGGGACCCTATGGGATGCTGGGAATCGAACCCGGGTCGATCGCGTGCAAGGCAAGCGCCCTCCCCGCTGTGCTATCGCTCCAGCCCCTGGGCATCCCTTCTTAAAGGCGTCTTGGTGCCTGGCTGACCTGCCCCCCTCCCGCAGGTGGACAACTCCTCCCTGACCGGTGAGTCGGAACCGCAGACCCGCTCCCCCGAGTTCACCCATGAGAACCCTCTGGAGACCCGGAATATCTGCTTCTTTTCCACCAACTGCGTGGAAGGTGCGGAGCGGCCCGTCAGCACCCCGCCATGGAAGGTCCTAGGGGGGAGAAGCCCCCCAGAGCCTCTATCTGGGGCCTCCACAGTCAAAGCAGGAAAGGGGGCCCCACCCAGAGCTTGTTGGGCTCGGATCAACTGACCGCTCTGGGCTCTCGGTAGCTGCTTGTCCCCTGGGGCCCACGCACCACCGCCACCGCGGGACATGGCCCACGGCAGCTCTGTTCACAGGCACCGCCACGGGCATCGTGGTGGCCACCGGGGACAACACAATCATGGGCCGCATAGCCATCCTGGCGTCGGGGCTGAAGGTGGGCAAGACGCCCATCGCCATGGAGATCGAGCACTTCATCCACATCATCACCGCCGTGGCCGTCTTCCTGGGCATCTCCTTCTTCTTCCTCGCCCTCATCCTCGGCTACCACTGGCTGGAGGCCATCATCTTCCTCATCGGCATCATCGTGGCCAACGTGCCCGAGGGACTGCTGGCCACTGTCACCGTGAGTGGGCATGGCGCCAGGGACACGGGCCCTGGGAAGGTGCTCCAGGTACCTCTTCCGCGGGAAGGAGCACCCCATGGACAGCAAGATGCAAGACGACTTCCAGAAGGCTCACCTGGAGCTGGAGCACGGGGGCGGGGCCAAGGGCACAGAGGGAGGGGCCAAGGCACAGGGGCGGGGCTAAGGGCACAGAGGGAGGGGCCAAGGCACAGGGGCGGGGCTAAGCGCACAGAGGGAGGGGCCAAAGGCACAGGGGCGGGGCCAAGGGCACAAGGGAGGGGCCTATAGTATGGGGAGGGGCCAACAGCATGGGGCGGGGCCAAGGCACAGGGGCGGGGCTAAGGGCACAGAGGGAGGGGCCAAAGGCACAGGGGCGGGGCCTAGGGAACAGAGGGAGGGGCGAAGGCACAGGGGCGGGGTCAAAGGCACAAGGGAGGAGCCAATAGCATGGGGGCGGGGCCAATGGCGCCGGGGCGGGACTAAGGCCATGGAAGGAGTCAATGGCCTGGGAGGAGCCAAGTGCAGGGGAGGAGTCAAGGGCACTGCTGAGACGGACTAGTGGTCCCAGAGAGGCAGAGGACAAGAATGGACTGCAGGACTGGCATGAGTGGCCGCCAGAAGTGTGTTCAGACCCGGGGGGAAGAAATTCTGGAAAGTTCTGAGCCTGCCCAGTCCTGGGTTGTTCCCAGGCCCTGACTTCTCTGCGTCAGAGCCAAGTGCTTCCACTTTTCTAATCAAGCTGGCGCCCGTGGCTTCCTGCCCACCGGTGTGGTCTGTGGGCCCGGGTCTGAGACCCTTTCTTGAGAAGGTTCGTCCAGAATGGCAGGGACTGGATGTGCTAAACGGCAGCCCCCCGGGGAGTGACCCCAGGAAGCCTCTCATCACGAACCCCAGGAGTGGAGGCTGGGTCCACCCCGGCCACCTGCCAGGCCTGGCTCAGCTCTCTAAGCTCTCCCTGCCCCCACGCTCCTCTCTGAAGCTCTGCCGCAGCTCCTCCTGGGCTCGCAGACCCCCAGGGCCATCGGAAAGACGGTCCCTGTCCACTCTCTGCCCACCTCCCAGGTGTGTCTGACGCTGACCGCCAAGCGCATGGCCCACAAGAACTGTCTGGTGAAGAACCTGGAGGCGGTGGAGACCCTGGGCTCCACGTCCACCATCTGCTCCGACAAGACGGGCACGCTCACCCAGAACCGCATGACTGTGGCCCACTTGTGGTTTGACCAGACTGTGTACACTGCTGACACCACCGAGGACCAGCAGGGTGAGGGGGCGGGGCCCAGGGCATAGGGGGGTGGGACCAAGGACACAGGGGCGGGGCCAAAGGCACAGGGGAGGAGCCAAGGACACAGGGGCAGGGCCAAAGGCACAGGGGAGGAGCCAAGGACACAGGGGGCAGGGTCAAGGGCATAGGAGGCTGGGACCAGGGGCACAGGGGCGGGGCTGAGGACACAGGGGAGGAGCCAAGGGTACAGGGGTGGGGCCAAAGGCACAGGGGGAGGGACCAAGGGCACAGGACAGGAGCCAATAGCACAGGGGAAGAGGCCAATGGCACAGGGGCGGGGCCAAGAGCACAGAGGGAGGGGCCAAGGGCACAGGACAGGAGCCAATAGTACAGGGGGAAGGGCCAAGGACACAGGGGAGGAGCCAATAGCACAGAGGGTGGGGCCAAGGACATAGGGTCAGGGCCAAGAGCAGAGGGCGGGGCCAAAGGCACACGGCAGAGCCAAGGGCACAAGGGAGGAGCCAAGAACACAGAGGGCAGGGTCAAGGGCATAGGAGGCTCGGACCAGGGGCACAAGGGCGGGGCTGAGGACACGGGAGGAGCCAAGGGTACAGGGGTGGGGCCAAAGGCACAGGGGGAGGGACCAAGGGCACAGGGGAGGAGCCAATAGCACAGGGGAAGAGGCCAATGGCACAGGGGCGGGGCCAAGAGCACAGAGGGAGGAGCCAAGGGCACAGGGGCGGGGCCAAGGGCACAGAGGGAGGGGCCAAGGGCACAGGGGCGGGGCCAAGGGCACAGAGGGAGGGGCCAAGGGCACAGGGGCGGGGCCAAGAGCACAGAGGGAGGGGCCAAGGGCACAGGGGCGGGGCCAAGGGCACAGAGGGAGGGGCCAAGGGCACAGGGGCGGGGCCAAGGGCACAGAGGGCGGGGCCAAGGGCACAGGGGAGGCCAAGGCCATGGAAGGAGCCAATGACCTGGGAGAAGCCAAGTGTAGGGCAGGGGTCAAGGGCACTCCTGAGAGGGACTGATGGTCCCAGAGAGACGGAGGACAAGAACGGACTGCAGGACTGGAATGAGTGGCCGCCAGAAGTGTGTTCAGACCCAGGGGGAAGAAATTCCGGAAAGCTCCGTGTGCGGGTGCAGAAGCCGGTCTGTGATTTTTGTGGGGCGCGAAGCTGCCGGCCAGGACGCAGCCCGGCTTCACCCAGCATCCTCTTCCTCCCCAGAGAACACCTTTGACAAGAGCTCTGGCACCTGGAAAATCCTGTCCCAAATCGCCGGGCTGTGCAACCGGGCCCACTTCAAGCCCAATCAGGAGATGATCCCGATCATCAAGGTGCCGCCCCCCGCCCAGCTCTGCCGCACCCAGGCTCCCCCAGCCCGCACCCCGGCCTCACCGTGCGCCCCCTTCCCTAGCGGGGGACCACGGGAGATGCCTCCGAGTCGGCGCTGCTCAAATTCATCGAGCAGACCTGCGGCTCCGTGACTGAGATGCGAGAGAAGAACCCCAAGGTGGCCGAGATCCCCTTCAACTCCACCAACAAGTACCAGGTACCCGGGACGGGGAGCGGAGAGCCGAGTGACCGCGGGCAGCAAGGACTGACCCGGGCGGGCAGGGCGCAGAGGGCACTGCCGTGCCCACCCTCCACCCGCAGCCGCAATGCTGCCTCCCCAGATATCGATCCACATTCCCGAGGAGAAGCCCGAAGCCCGTGTCCTGCTGATGAAGGGGGCTCCTGAGAGAATCCTGGAGAGGTGCTCCAGTTACCTGCTCCACGGGACCGAGCACCCCATGGACAGCAACATGCAGGACGACTTCCAGAAGGCTTACCTGGAGCTGGGCGGCCTGGGGGAGCGCGTGCTGGGTGAGGGGTGGGCCTGGGGAGGGGGCGCGGGGAGGGCTGGGGGCTCTGGGGGGAGAGTAGAGCAGCAGCGTACCCCAGTCCGGCCCAGCCCGGCCCGTCTCACCCCCGTTTCAGGGTTCTGCTACCTGGACTTGCCCGACTCCTTTGGGGAGGATTTCGAATTCAACACGGAGGAGGTCAACTTCCCCACCGAGAACCTGTGCTTCGTGGGCCTCATGTCCATGATCGACCCTCCCCGGGCAGCCGTGCCCGACGCTGTGAGCAAGTGCCGCAGCGCGGGCATCAAGGTAGGGGTCCGCACGCCCCCTGACCTCTGCCCCGCACTCCAAGGGCATGAGAAGGGAGGGCCGACCCCTCCAGCAGACGCACGGCCACCAAGGTGCATCCCGGCCGTCCACTCCCCCAGGTGATCATGGTGACCGGTGACCACCCCATCACGGCCAAGGCCATCGCCAAGGGCGTGGGCATCATCTCCGAGGGCACCGAGACTGTGGAGGACATTGCGGCCCGGCTCGACATCCCGGTCAAAGAGGTCAACCCCAGGTGAGGCCCTGCAGCCCAGCCCCAACCCCTCCCTTTACAAAGCCTCCGTGGCCTGTCCTCTTCGCCCCTAGACCCGGAGTGGCCAGGCTGTGCCTCTGCCCAGCTGACCCTGAGGGCTCTGCTCAGAGGCAAGAAATTGATCTGTAGTCAAGGGAAAGAGGCTGTCCTGGGACCCCGGCCCCAATTCAAGGGCAGGAGGCAGGGCCTGGGTGGGCAGGAGGCGGGGTCTGAGCTGGTGGAGGCGTGGCCTGGGTTGGCAGGAGGCGGGGTCTGAGCTGACAAGGCAGGAGGCGGGGCCTGGGCTGGCAGGAGGCGGGGCCTCAACTGGTAGAGGCGTGGCCTGAACTGGTTGAGGTTGGCAGGAGGCGGGGCCTGGGCTGGCAGTAGGCAGGGCCTGGGCTGGCAGGGACGGAGCCTGAGTTGGCAGGAAGTGGGGGTGTTGCTGGGCTGGCAGGAGGCGGGGCCTGAGCTGCAGGAGGCAGGGCCTGGGCTGGCAGGGGCGGTGCCTGGGCTGGCAGGAGGCGGGGCCTGGACTGGCAGGGGGCGTGGTTTGAGCTGGCAGGAGGAGGGGCCTGGGCTGGCAGAAGGCGGGGCCTGGAGTGGCAGGGGCAGGGCCTGGGCTGGCAGGGGTGGAGTCTGAGTTGGCAGGAAGTGGGGGTGTTGTTGGGCTGGCAGGAGGCGGGGCCTGTGCTGGTGGAGGCGGGGCCTGGGCTGGCAGGGGGCGTGGCCTGAGCTGGCAGGAGGCGGGGCCTGAATTAGTGGAGGCAGGGCCTGAGCTGGTGGAGGCGGGGCCTGGGCTGGCAGGGGGCGTGGTCTGAGCTGGCAGGAGGCGGGGTCTGAGCTGGCGATACCCAGGCCAGCCCTGACCAGCGCCTGCTCCCCAGAGAGGCCAAGGCATGCGTGGTGCACGGCTCTGACCTGAAGCACATGGACTCCACGCAGCTGGACGAGTTGCTGCGCAATCACACAGAGATCGTCTTTGCCCGCACGTCCCCGCAGCAGAAACTCATCATCGTGGAGGGCTGCCAACGACAGGTGGGCATGGGGCGGGGGTCGCCCCAAGGAGGAGAGAGGGTGGAGGGCGGGAGCCACACTGACCGCACCCGGATGCTCCGCAGGGGGCCATCGTGGCCGTGACGGGGGACGGCGTGAACGACTCCCCTGCCCTGAAGAAGGCCGACATTGGCATTGCCATGGGCATCGCGGGCTCAGACGTGTCCAAGCAGGCGGCCGACATGATCCTGCTGGACGACAACTTCGCGTCCATCGTCACCGGCGTGGAGGAGGGTGAGGGCGCGGGCGGGGGGCCTCTGAGAGTGGATGAGTCTGAGGCCCAGGCGGGGGTCTCGGGCATGGGACAGTGGCTGGACAGGAATGTCTCCGTGGCAGCTGGCACTCGGGGTCCTGAGTGCTGCTCGTAGACGGGCAACCGGCCTCCCGCAGGCCGCCTCATCTTTGACAACCTGAAGAAGTCCATCGCCTACACGCTGACCAGCAACATCCCCGAGATCACCCCCTTCCTTCTCTTCATCATTCTCAGCATCCCACTGCCCCTGGGCACCATCACCATCCTCTGCATTGACCTGGGGACCGACATGGTGCGGCCGGGCAGGGGGCCTGGGAGAGAGGGAGGAGGGGGTGTGTGGAGAGGCGGGGGCTGTTTCAGCCTGTCGGTCCCTCCCCCAGCTCCCGGCCATCTCCCTGGCCTACGAGTCGGCCGAGAGTGACATCATGAAGCGGGTGCCGCGGAATGCCCTCACGGACAAGCTGGTGAACGAGCGGCTCATCTCCATGGCGTATGGGCAGATCGGTGGGTGCCAGGACGGGGCGCGGGGTCCCTGGTCCCACGGCAGGGAAGGTGCCCTGCCCCTCACCTGGGGGCTTGGATGGCTCAGGAGGACAGAGCAGACGCCAGGTGGGGGACACCCCCAACCTGCTGACGGTGCCCTCTCCTGAGGGGCCCTGAACCCCCAGGGATGATCCAGGCCCTGGCGGGGTTCTTCACCTACTCGGTGGTCCTGGCCGAGAACGGCTTCAGGCCCTTCGACCTGCTGGGCCTCCGTGTCAACTGGGAAGACCAACACAAGAGCGACCTGGAGGACAGCTACGGGCAGGAGTGGGTAGGCGGAGGGCAGAGGGTGGGGGCAGCAGCGGGGGCGGGGGCGGGGGGCACCTCGCCCTGCTGTCTCCTCTCCAAGTCTCCAGCGTCACCCCTGCTGTCTCTCTGCTCCCTGCCTCTCGGCTCTGCGTCTCTGCCAAGTCTCTGCTCTCTGTGTCTCTGTTCTCTGCTCTGAGTCTTTGGTCTCTGCGACCCCGTGATTTTTCGGTCGGACCCTGCAGTGCTGACTGCAGCCGCCCTGAGTCTGTACCCGCGGAGGGGGAAGGAGGATAGGAACATCTGCTCTTTCCTGCCCCACAGTGCTGCCTTCCTCCTCCTCCTCCTCCTCCTCCTCCTCCTTCTTCCTTCTTCTCCTTCTCCCCCTCCTCCTCTTCCTCTTCTTTTCTTCTTCTTCTTCTTCTTCTTCTTCTTCTTCTTCTTCTTCTTCTTCTTCTTCTTCTTCCTCCTTCTCCTCCTCTTCCTCCTCTTCTTCTTCCTCCTCCTCCTCCTCCTCTTCTTCTTCTTCTTCTTCTTCTTCTTCTTCTTCTTCTTCTTCCTCCTCCTCCTCCTCTTCCTCCTCCTCCTTCTTCCTCCTCTTCCTCCACTTCCTCCTCCATCTCCTCATCTTCCTCTTCCTTCTCCTCCTTCTCTTTCTCCTCCTCCTCCTCCATCACCTCCACCTCCTCTTCCACCTCCTCCCCCTCCTCCTCCACCCGCTCCTCCTCCTCCTCCTTCTTCTTCTTCTCCTCCTTCTCCCCCTCCTCCTCCTCCATCACCTCCACCTCCACCTCCTTCTCCTCCTCCTCCTCCTCCTCCTCCTCCTCCTCTTCTTCTTCTTCTTCTTCTTCTTCTTCTTCTTCTTCTTCTTCTTCTTCTTCTTCTTCTTCTTCTTCCTTCTCCTCCTCCTCTTTTTCTTCTTCCTCCTCCTCCTTCTTCCTCCTCCTCCTCCTTCTTCTTCCTCCATCTCCTCTTCTTTTTCCTTCTCCTCCTCCTCCTCCTCCTCCTCCTCCCCCCCCACCTGGGGGGCCCGGGAGGGAAGCAGCAGCTCACACGGCCCTGTGCCCGCAGACGTTCGAGCAGCGGAAGGTTGTGGAGTTCACCTGCCACACGGCCTTCTTCGCCAGCATCGTGGTGGTGCAGTGGGCCGACCTCATCATCTGCAAGACCCGCCGGAACTCCGTCTTCCAGCAGGGCATGAAGTGAGCGGGGCGCGGAGGGGGGTGCTCCAGGGCTGTGCTCCTGCCTGCAGGCCCGGCCCCCGGCCCGGGGCGGTCCTCCACGGGCTGTTTCGCCGCAGGAACAAGGTCCTGCTCCTGGCCATCCTGGAGGAGACGGTGCTGGCCTGCATCCTGTCCTACACGCCGGGGATGGACAAGGCCCTGCGGATGTACCCCCTCAAGTGCGTGGGCGCAGGGCGGGGACGGGGGCGCCCGGGGACGGGGTCTGCACACTTGGAGGCGAGAGCCTGGCCTGGGGCCCTCCGCGCTGCCCACAGCCCCGCGAGGGGACGGGGTCGCGCACCAGGGCAGCTGAGCCGAGCTGCCCCCCCCCCTCCGCCAGGGCCACGTGGTGGTTCTGCGCGGTGCCCTACAGCGTCATCATCTTCATCTACGACGAGACCAGGAAGCTGATCATCCGGCACTTTCCTGGCTGTGAGCCCCCCGACCCGGCCGCTCGCCGGCCCCCACGTCCGTCCTGCTCCCTGCCCCCCAGCCCCGCCCGGCGCCCCACACGGGCCAGCTGGAGAGGGAGACCCCGCGGACTGCCTCGGACCCCACCCCCTGCATCCCTCCCCTGCGCCCCTCCCCTCCTTCCCCTGTGCCTCGTCCCCATGCACCCCTCCTTCCTGGCCCTTCCCCTGAACTCCTCCCCTGCTACCCTCCCCACTCACCCCTGCGCCCCTCCCCTCCTTCCCCTGTGCCCCATCCCCATGCACCCCTCCTTCGCAGCCCTTCTCCTGAACTCCTCCCCTGCTACCCCCCCCCACTCACCCCTGCGCCCCTCCCCTCCTTCCCCTGTGCCCCTTCCCCATGCACCCCTCCTTCGCAGCCCTTCCCCTGAACTCCTCCCCTGCGCCCCTCCCCACTCACCCCTGCGCCCCTCCCCTCCTTCCCCTGTGCCCCTTCCCCATGCACCCCTCCTTCGTAGCCCTTCCCCTGAACTCCTCCCCTGCTACCCTCCCCACTCACCCCTGCGCCCCTCCCCTCCTTCCCCTGTGCCCCATCCCCATGCACCCCTCCTTCGCAGCCCTTCCCCTGAACTCCTCCCCTGCGCCCCTCCCTACTCACCCCTGCGCCCCTCCCCTCCTTCCCCTGTGCCCCTTCCCCTTCTTCCCCTTGTCCCTTCCCCATGCGCCCCTTCCCTGGGCCCCTCCCCACTCACCCCTGTGCCCCTCCCCACTCACCCCTGCACCCCTCCCATTCTTCCCCTGTGCCCCTCCCCCTCCATCCCTTGTTCCCCTTCCCCTGTACTCCTCCCCTGAGTCCCTCTCCACTCACCCCTGCACCCCTCCCCCTCGTTCCCCTGTGCCCCTCCCATTCTTCCCCTGTGCCCCTCCCCCGTGCACCCCTCCTTCGAGCCCCTTCCCCTGAACTCCTCCCCTGCGCCCCTCCCCACTCACCCCTGCGCCCCTCCCCTCCTTCCCCTGTGCCCCGTCCCCATGCACCCCTCCTTCGCAGCCCTTCCCCTGAACTCCTCCCCTGCTACCCTCCCCACTCACCCCTGCGCCCCTCCTCCTCATTCCCCTGTGCCCCCTCCTCTCCCTGCACCCCTCTCCCTCCTTCCCCTGTGCCCCTCCCCCGTGCACCCCTTCGTCATGCCACTTCCCCCTGCACCCCTCCCCTGAGTCCCTCCCCACTCACCCCTGCACCCCTCCCCCTTGTTCCCCTGTGCCCCTCCCCCATACACCCCTCCTTCGTGCCCCTTCCCCTGCACTCCTCCCCTGCTACCCTCCCCACTCACCCCTGCACCCCTCCCATTCTTCCCCTGTGCCCCTCCCCCTCCTTCCCTTTTTCCCCTTCCCCTGCACTCCTCCCCTGCTACCCTCCCCACTCACCCCTGCACCCCTCTCCCTCCTTCCCCTGTGCCCTTCCCCCTCCTTCCCTTGTTCCCCTTCCCCTGTACTCCTCCCCTGCTACCCTCCTCACTCACCCCTGCACCCCTCTCCCTCATTCCCCTGTGTCCCTCCCCCATGCACCCCTTCTTCATGCCACTTCCCCCTGCACCCCTCCCCTGAGTCCCTCCCCACTCACCCCTGCACCCCTCCCTTTCTTCCCCTGTGCCCCTTCCCCATGCACCCCTCCTTGGTGCCCCTTCCCCTGCACTCCTCTCCTGCTACCCTCCCCACTCACCCCTGCACCCTCCCCCTCATTCCCCTGTGCCCCCTCCTTCCCCTGCACCCCTCTCCCTCCTCCCCGTTCCCCTCCCCCATGCACCCCTCTTCCGTGACCCTTTCCCATGCACCCCTTCCTGGGCCAATCCCCACTCCCCCTGTGCCCCCCCCCCCGCCAGGCTGGCTGGAGAGGGAGACCTACTACTGAGCACAGGACAACGGGATGCAGCACTCAGGTGGCCAGACTGGCCCTGTGAGCCTGAGCGGACTGATCAACAGAGATGCACCCCTGTCTGGACGCTACCCTGCAGGCTCCCCGGGACCCCGTCCTGTGGAGAACCACAGAGTAAATGTAGCAGAACCCCCCCCGCCCAGTCCCATGTGCTTTTGTTGGGGGGCTGGGCATGAGCCGAATCTCTCCCAGGCCACATGGGGGGCCGCCGCTGGGGTCAGCAGCATCTCTGTGATCTCAGCCTGAGGGTCCTCGTGGGCCAGGGTGGGGGGACACGGGCAGTGAGCACGTCTCTGCAGGGGCAGGGCTCACAGGCGGGAGGAGGGGCATAAGTGCCCAGAGTTGGGGTGTTGGGGGCCCAGGGGCTGCCCCCTGCCCGCCCTGTGAGCTTCCTGGGGGGTGCTGGCAGCAAGGCGCTGCTCCCCAGAGGTCCCCTGGGGACAGCCGGCGGCAGGCTGGGGTCCTTCCCGCTGCTGACGCTGCTGAACCAGACCCCGAGGCTGAGCGGAGGGAGCGAGTGTGGGACTCTAGAAACCAGAGGCTCTCGGCCAGGTCATCTGATCTGGTGCCCGCAGGGGCCGAGAGGGACAGGCCATGGGGGAGGGGAGCAGGACAGGCCAGCGAAACCAGCCGTGTGTGTGTGTGTGTGTGTGTGTGTGTGTGTGTGTGTGTGTGTAGGGAACAGGGGAGGAGGAGGGGATGACCAGTGCTGTGGGGGCCATCTCCTGCCCGCACACAAACAAGCACCTGAAACTCAGAGCGCCCCCCTCCTCCCCCGAACCTCGTGCCTCAGTTTACCTGTGGAGCCCAGGGAGGTCCCCTCCTTCCAGACCTGAGCTGTGGGTTGGGTGTGGACCTGCCCCTGGGTTCTCCCCACACTCCCCGGGGAACATGTGGTCCTGGGGCTCCTCCCCGCAACAGCCCCGGGAATCCGGATCCTGGACCCGAGTGGGCGCGTGTCTGAAGGGGGAAGTGGCCAGGGAGCCCAGGAAGCAGAAGTGGCGAAGGGCAGCCGGGGACTCATCACCCAGGGACGGCCCGGGCTCCTTCCTGTGGCCCTGGCCCCTAAGCAGAGTCCCCGTGCCAGGCAGCGGCGTGACCTCTGACCCAGCCAGCGAGCCCCGGTCGGGCCGGCTCCCCGGCCTCCCCACGCCCAGATTCATTTACCTCAGGCTCATCTGCTCTTATTTTTAGCGTCCGACTTTTCCTTTCTTAATATGGCGATGAGCTCCTGAGACAGGGGTGAGGCGGGCGGGGGCAGGGCGCAGAGAGAGGAGCGGCCTGGCCTGGCCGGGCGTCCTGGCCCCGAGGCTGCGTCCCCCAGCCAGCCTGGGGACATATTTAGCCGGGCCAGGTGGGGCTGGGGCGCCGTTGTGGGCAGCTCAGGTTCCCACACCCTGCCCCGGCCACTGCCTCCCCCCTTCCTCCGGGCCGCGGCCACTTCTGCTCCTGCCGGCCGGCCGTGCTGTCCACTGCGGCTCAGGACCTCCCTAGCTCAGGACTCCCCCCCGGGGTCTCCACACACGCGGCGGCGGGATGGGAAGCCAGGCTGTGCCCGGGCTGCGGCTCTCGTTGCTTCTCCTCCTGCTCCTGGGACCCCCCAAGGCAGGGGTGCGGGGCGAGGAGGGCCTGGACTTCCCGGCCTACGACGGGGTGGACCGCGTGGTCAACGTGAACAGCAAGAACTACAAGAGCGTGTTCAAGAAGTACGAGGTGCTGGCGCTGCTGTACCACGACCCCCCCGAGGGGGACAAGGCCTCCCAGAGGCAGTTTGAGATGGAGGAACTGATCCTGGAGGTGAGGGCGCCCGGTGTGTCTCCCCGGGGTCCTAGCCGGGACTGCGCCTCCCCCCGGGAATGGGTGGGGGGGTCCACCGGGCAGAAGGGCACGGTAAGTGGCCCCCTTCCCACGCTTAGTGACCGCCCCATCCCTGTAACCCCAAATTCCGGAAGTGAAGGACCCCCATCGTTCTCTTAGAAATTTAACTTCCATGCAGTTGACCAGACGTCCAGGGGAAGGTGTTGGGGGTGTGAGGCGCACCTGTGCCCCCGTTCTGCCTCTCCAGCACCCCGGGGTCCTGGCCTGGGGGTCTCTTGCTGGCTGTGGGCCCCGGGGAGCTGGGAGGAGACCCACTCTCCAATTAATGCGCTGAGTATTTTTACCTCGCCCGCTCAGCACCCCTGGCGGCCCTCCTGCCTTCCAGTGGAGCACAGGGGCCGCGCCCTGCTGGGGACGCAGGCAGAGACAGACCCTCTGCCCGCCTGGCCCTCTCCACCCCCTGGCCCGCGGTGGGGTCGTGGGGAGCATCCGTGGGTGGGTGGGGGAGGAGTGTGAACCGAGGGCACGCAGGGGGCTGGGGCCCGGCTGGCACCACAGCGAGGCACAGCGGAGAGTGGGGGAGGCAGGGAGGCACTGACCGCGCTGACCCTGCCCCCCACAGCTGGCCGCCCAGGTTCTCGAGGACAAGGGCGTGGGCTTCGGGCTGGTGGACTCCGAGAAGGATGCAGCAGTGGCCAAGAAGTTAGGTAAGGGTGGGGCGTGGGAAAACGGGGGGAAGCTTGGGGCTGGGCCATAGCACAGTGGGGAGGGCGTTGGCCTGGCAGGCGGCCGACCTGGGTTCGATCCCCAGCATCCCATATGGTGCCCGGAGCACCGCCAGGAGTAATCCCTGAGTGCAAAGCCAGGAGTCAGCCCTGTGCATCGCCGGGTAGGACCCAAAAAGCAAAGATAAGATAAAAATAAATTAAACGGGGCCGGAGCAATAGCACAGCGGGGAGGGTGTTGGCTTGGCACGCGGCCGACCTGGGTTCGATCTCCGGCCTCCCATACGGTGCTCCGAGCACCGCCAGGAGTGATTCGGAACACCTGTGCATCGCTGGGTGTGACCTAAAAGCAAAAAAAAAAAAAAAAAAAAAAAAGGGAGACTCTCAGAGGCCAACCAGGGTCGAAGGCCAGGCAGTGTTGGAAGCAGGCAGCCCTGGGAGGAACCTTCCAGAATCCGCCAGCACCCCCATCCTCGCAGCTCCCCAAGTTAACCCTCTGCCTCAGGCCTCACCGAGGAGGACAGCATCTACGTCTTCAAGGGGGACGAGGTGATTGAGTACGACGGAGAGCTGGCCGCCGACACCCTGGTGGAATTCCTGCTGGACGTGAGCCCACCCCCCACCGGGTAGTGGACACTGGGCCTGGACACCCATGGGCACAGACACGCAGGCACGCAGACAGGGACACGGACACACGTAGACGCCCGGGCATGTGTGGGCACAGACACACGAAACATGTTGTGGACACTGGCGGGCCCAAGGCCTATTCGGACACGCACAGACAGGCGCCCCCCAGGCAGCAAAGCCCCTTCCTCTGCCCCAGGTCCTGGAGGACCCCGTGGAGCTGATTGAGGGGGAGCGGGAACTGCAAGCCTTCGAGAACATCGAGGACGAGATCAAGCTCATTGGCTACTTCAAGAGCAAAGACTCGGAGCGTGGGTGACCCCCCCGCGCCGCCCCTCCCCGCATGGGGCCCCGTCCCCTCCCTGAGGGCCGGCTGGGTCCCGGGCAGGGGTGGCGAGTGACTGGACCCACCTTGCACCCCCAGATTACAAAGCCTACGAGGACGCGGCCGAGGAGTTCCACCCCTACATCCCGTTCTTTGCCACATTCGACAGCAAGGTGGGGCCGCCACCCCCCCCCCCCCCCCGCTCACGCCCTCACACCCCTCCAGCCCCGCAGTGCCCTCAGCCGGCCACGCCCTGACTGTTCCGCTAACTGGCCCCGGGCACCCCTGCCTCTCCCCCAGGTGGCCAAGAAGCTGACCCTGAAGATGAACGAGATCGACTTCTACGAGGCCTTCATGGATGAGCCCGTGACCATCCCGGACAAGCCCAACAGCGAGGAGGAGATCGTCAGCTTCGTGGAGGAGCACAGGAGGTGGGGGCAGGGGAGGAGCACGGGGAGCACGGAGCACAGCGGGTGGGGGCAGGGGAGGAGCACGGGGAGCACGGTGAACAGCAGGTGGGGGCGGGGGAGGAGCACGGAGCACAGCGGGTGGGGGCAGGGGAGGAGCACAGGGAGCACGAAGAACAGTAGGTGGAGCAGGGGAGGAGTACGGGGAGCATGGAACACAGCACGTGGGGGCAATGGAGGAGCACAGGGAGCATGGGGCACAGCAGGTGGGGGTGGGGAGGAGCACTGGAAGCATGGAGCATAGTACGTGGGGCAGGGGAGGAGCATAGGGAGCATGGGGCACAGCAGGTGGGGGCAGGGAGGAGCACTAGAAGCATGGAACATAGCATGTGGGGCAGGGGAGGAGCACTGGAGCATGGAGCACAACAGGTGGGGGCAGGGAGGAGCACTGGGAGCATGGAGCATAGCACGTGGGGCAGGGGAGGAGCACAGGGAGCACGGAGCACAGCAGGTGGGGGCAGGGGAGGAGCACTGGGAGCATGGAGCACAACAGGTGGGGGCAAGGGAGGAGCACGGGGAGCATGGAGCACAGCATGTGGGGGCAGGGGAGGAGCACAGGGAGCACGGAGCACAGCAGGTGGGGGCAGGGGAGGAGCATGTGAAGAGCACAGGGAGTACTGGGCATGAGGAGGGGGCACAGGGGAAGGGGCACAGGAGGAGCACAGGGAGCACGGGGCACAAGGAAGGGGGCACAGGAGGTGGGGGCGTGGGCAGCAGCCTCTGAGAGGGCCTCCTCCAGGGGCACAAGCCAAGGTGACAGGTCAGTGCGGTGGCACCCCGGGGGGCCAACCTCTCGGATTCTGTTCCTGGCCCCAGGCCCCTGTGCAGACAGCCCGACTCACTCTGCTCCCCATGGTACGCCAGGTCTGTGGGGCCCGAACACGGGAGTTCAGGGCCAGCACCGAGGGCCTGGCCACCTGCAGTCTGCTGTGTCCCGCGTAGAGACCAGCCCCGGGGCACTCCCTGACCGATGCCCCATTTCTCCACAGGTCCACCCTGAGGAAGCTGAAGCCCGAGAGCATGTACGAGACGTGGGTGAGTTTCTGCGCAGCTGACTCGGCCGGGCCCCGGAAGGACCTGCGCTACCCGGACTGGGGGTCCTGGGGGTGTTCCTGGGGGGCCGCGGGGCTGATGCCTGCTGGCTGATGCCCCCCATCCCATCACAACAGGAGGATGACATGGACGGGATCCACATTGTGGCCTTCGCCGAGGAAGCCGATCCCGGTGAGGGTGCTCACGGTGGTTCACCGTGCTCCTCCCCTGCCCCCACTTGCTGTACCCCATGCTCCTCGTGCTCCTCCCTTGCCCCCACCTGTTGTGCTCGGTGCTCCCAGTGCTCCTCCCCGGCGCCACCTACTGTTCCTTGTGCTCCCTGTGCTCCTCCCCAGCCCCCACCTGCTGTGCTCCGTGCTCCCTGTGCTCCTCACCTGCCCCCACCTCACAACACGGCCCCAGGGAGCCCCACTCAGCCCTCCCGGGGGTGGCAAGGGGGCTGTAGGTGCTGGCCCCCCACTTGTCCCCGTCTCTCCCAGATGGCTACGAGTTTCTGGAGACACTGAAGGCCGTGGCGCAGGACAACACAGACAATCCTGACCTCAGCATCATCTGGATCGACCCGGATGACTTCCCCCTGGTGAGCGGCCACTCGGGGCCACTCGGGGCCGGGGGTGAGGAGGGCAGCGCTGTGATGGCCCAAGACAAACACGCCAGCAGCTGGGGCACGTCGAGATTCCACGTGCCCTGACATGGAGGACTCTCCTGCCAGTTGTCCGGAGCTGGGGGCCACGCTAGAGGTGCCAGGCGGGAACTCAGGACCCCACTTGAGCATAATAGGGGACCCCCAGCCCTGGCTTGGGGCCTTTGACTCTTGTCCCACTGACACGGTCCCTGTGCCCTGCAGCTAGTCCCCTACTGGGAGAAGACGTTCGACATCGACCTCTCAGCCCCGCAGATTGGTGTCGTCAATGTCACAGATGTGAGTGACCCCTAAATTCACGTTGCCTCTTGCCGTTGCCCCCAGTTCCCTTCGGACCCACGAGGGGAGCTGGTTCTGCTCTGCCCCAGCCCCTGGCACCCCATTGCCCCGTCCCTTACACTCCACCCTCCCAAGGCCCTCACCCACACCCCCATAGTCCCTTCCACACTTCCCGTGCCCACCAACCCCCATGCCTTTTCCCACTCTGTCCCACGCTGTGCCACGCCCCTTCCTCTCCATCAGGACCCCCACTACTCCCAACCACAGTCCCTTACCCTATACCAAAACCTCCACTCACATACCTCGCACATGCCCCGCCCATCATAACCACGCCCCTCGAGGACACGCCTACCTGGTCACCGCCCAATCACAGGACATGCCCACCCAATTCCTGCCCAATCACAGTCCGCGCTCAATCCCAGGACACGCCCTCACGCCCCCCCCCCCGTCCAAATCCAGGACACGCCCACCAGTCACCGCCCAATCCCGGGACACGCCCACCAGTTTCTGCCCAATTCCAGTCCCTGCCCAATCCCAGGACACGCCCCCCAGTCCCCTCCCAAACCCAGGACATGCCAGCAGTCCCGCCCAATCCCAAGACACGCCCACTCAGTACCCATCTCACCCCAGGACACACCCACTCAGTGTCTGCCCAATCCAAAGACACTCCCACACAGCCCCGCCCAATCCCAGGACACGCCCCCCAGTCCCCTCCCAAACCCAGGACATGCCAGCAGTCCCTGCCCAATCCTAGGACACTTTCATCTAGTTCCCGCCCAATCCCAGTCCCTGCCCAATCCCAAGACACGCCCACCCAGTACCCATCTCACCTCAGGACACACCCACTCACACTCTCCAATCCAAAGACACGCCCACACAGCCCCGCCCAATACCAGACCTGCCCAATTCCAGGACACATCCACCCCACTCAATTCCAGTCCCTGCCCAATCCCAGGACATGCCCATTCAGTCCCACCCAATCCCAGTCAGCCCCTGCCAATCCCAGAACACGCCCACCCCAGCCCCGCCCAATCCAGGACACGCCCATCTAGCCCCACCCAATCCGTCCCTGCCCAATCCCAGGACACGCCCACCAGCCCCGCCCAATCCAGGACACGCCCATCCAGTCCCACCCAATCCCAGTCTCTGTCCAATTCCAGGACACGCCCATCCAGCCCCACCCAATCCCAGTCCCTGCCCAATCCCAGGACACGCCCACCAGTCCCGCCCAATCCCAGTCCCTGCCCAGTCCCAGGACACGCCCACCACCCCCCCCCCCGCCAGCTCCAGGACACGCCCATCCAGTCCCACCCAATCCCAGCCCCTGCCCAATCCCAGGACACGCCCACCAGCCCCGCCCAATCCCAGTCCCTGCCCAATCCCAGGACATGCCCACCAGCCCCGCCCAATCCAGGACACGCCCATCCAGTCCCACCCAATCCCAGTCCCTGCCCAATCCCAGGACACGCCCACCAGCCCCACCCAATCCCAGTCCCTGCCCAATCTCAGGACACGCCCACCAGCCCCGCCCAATCCCAGGACACGCCCATCCAGTCCCACCCAATCCCAGTCCCTGCCCAATCCCAGGACACGCCCATCCAGTCCCACCCAATCCCAGTCCCTGCCCAATCTCAGGACACGCCCACCAGCCCCGCTCAATCCAAGGACACACCGCCCACCCAGCCCAGCCCCTGCCCCTGCCCCAGGACCCGCTCCCTCGAGCCCACCCCACCCTCATCCCCACGCAGGCTGACAGTGTGTGGATGGAGATGGACGATGAGGAGGACCTGCCTTCGGCCGAGGAGCTGGAGGACTGGCTGGAAGATGTGCTGGAGGGCGAGATCAATACAGAGGACGACGACGACGACGACGATGACGATGATGACGATGATGATGATGATGACGACGATGACTAGCCAGTGTGGAACCAGCTCCTGGTTCTGCCACCTTGGGGGCTCCCGGCCCCAGGGCCACACGGCCACGGGGCTCAGCGGGGTGCTGTTGGGTGTGGGTGGGGGCCGGGCACTGTCTTCCAGCGTCCCCGGCTGCTCACCGCCAAGCCCCCCACTCTCTCTGGTGCTGTTCTTCTGGGGTACCGGGTCCCCAGGCTCTTCCGGCGGCTGCCCACTCCCAAGGCCCACCTCTGGGCAGTGCCTTGCGCTTGGGGCTGGCCAGCGACTCGGGCATGTGTGTGCGTCTGAGGGGCTCAATAAAGAATCCGGGGCAGTGTGTGCGGGCAGTCGGGACGCTCACCCCCTCCACTCACCCTCCTGCGGTGCCCGGGGGCTCTGCACCCCCAGCGTCGTCCCCCTGCCCACACTGCTTGCTCGCTCCGGGGCCAGTGCGCCAGGTGCCCGGAGCTGCCCCGTCCCAGGCCTCAGCATCGGCGCCCCCTTCCTGGGCGGGCAGCGGGCAGCCCCGCATGCACCTGGAGTGGACAGTGCGGGTCTGCGCTCGCTTCCAGCTCAGGTACCCAAGCGGCCTCCTTGCCGCGGTGTGGACTTAACGTGGCTTAGCCAGCGGCGGTCCTGGGGCCCAGCTGCAGCCCTCTGCATCACACGTGCACACGGACACGACACGTGCGTGCCGGACACAGAGGCACGCGTCCAGACGCCGACACGCGCACGCACATGCCCGGGTGCACGCAGACTCGCGCGCGCACACGCACCACACCCCATGCACCACCCGCTCCACGAGGGTCCCAGCAGCTCATCACCCCACATCCCCCCCCGAGCAGCAACAGGCGGCTCTGGGGGTCCCCAGGCCCCTCAGTGTCAGGGAAAGGAGGAGTCCGTGAGCGCGGACTGGGCGTGCAGGGGGGCTGGACACTGGGGAGCCGGTGACGGGGACGGGGAGGTCCAGGGTCTGGGCTCTGGGGCTCCGGGGCGCACAGACACGGGGCCCCCCGGAAGGGAGGCGCCCCCGCTTAACCCCTCCCCGGGAGCGGCGCGGCGCGGGGGGCTCGCGCGGCCCCCACGGGCGGTCACGGGAAGGTCACGAGGCGGCGCGGCCCGCGCGGCCGCTCGAGCCTTCCAGAAGGCCCCGCCCCGGCTCTGACGTCGGCGCGGGCGCGGGGGGCTGGGCGCGGCGGAAGCGGCGCTGGCGGAGCTGGACGCTTCGGACCCCGGACGGCGAGCGCCGCGCCCAGCGCCGGGGGTGAGGGCCGGGGCGGGCGATCGGGGCGCGCGGGCGGGCGGGCGGGCGGGGGGCGCGCGCGCGCGGGGCCGAGCCTCTGGCCGGCGCCCCCGGCGGGGGGCGGGGCGGGCCGGGGGGCGGGGAGCCCCGCGCCGGAGCCGGGCGGGCCTCCGCCGTGCGTGGGGCCCCGCGGGACACACATTCCCCCGCGCGCACCGCGACACGCGCGCATGTGATTACACACGCCGCCGCCCCCGCGCCAGGCCCGCCCGAGCTCCGCGCCCCGCTCCGCGCCCCCCGGACCCCGCCGCCACCCCGCGCGCTGGGTGAGTGCGCCGGGCCGGCGGGCAGGTGGACGCAGGGGCGCGCGGCCAGCCCGGCGGGGAGTGGCCGCGGCGGCCGAGGGGGTGGCGGGCAGAGGGATGAAGAGCGGCCGTGAGTCAGCCGAGGATGCAGCCGGGGCACGGGGAGGATGTGTGCGAGGCGCGGGGGGCGGTGGCGGGGGTGGGGGGCAGGGCTGGCGGGCGGGGGTGCGCCGGCCAGCTGCCCGAGCCCCCCGCGAGGGGACTCGGCTGGACACGCCGCCGGGCCGCTGGCCCCGGCCCCCCGCGTGCATCTCCTGCTTTAGGCGAGAGGGCGGAGGGCCGCGGGCACGCATCCCCCCGGTGACCCCCGGACAGACGGGCGGGAACGCGGAGGTCTCGGGTGGACACTGAGACGGGAAGGGGAAGAGACCGGGGGGCCGCGGACGGGCCCAGCTGGCCGCCCGCAGCTGCGCTGCCCGCCTCGGGGCCGCCGGGAGCAGGCGGGGTCCGTGCGCGGGATGAGACGGGGCTGCTAGAATTGGGGGGCGCACGGCCTCTCCTTGACCCCCGACCCCAGGGCGGGGCCCTCCGGCCCCCTGGACCGCGGGGGCAGGGTGGGTCCTTCCTGCCCAGATGTGGCGGGGACTGGCCCGGCCCGGACGCAGCGGGGCCCGGAGCGCGGCGTCCACAGGTGGCTGCGCCGGGGGCCTCCCGGGGCCGTGGGGGGCTGAAGGAGGGACGGAGGGAGGGAGGGAGGTGTGAGCGCGCAGCAGCTCGGACGGATGCGCGGGCTTCCTGGCGGCCCGGGGTCCGGTTCCGGCCCCGCATCCTGTCCCCGCGGCCCCGCCCAGGTCCGTGTCCTGCCGCCGGCGCGGCTTCCAGCGGCTCCTCCCGGGACCAGGAGCGCCTGCGGCGCGCGGAGGGGGGCTCGGAACCCCGAGAAGCCCCTGGGGACTGGCCAGCGGGAGACTTGTCCTGGCGAGGCGCAGCCGGCCACGCCTGTTCCCCGTCCTCCGTCCGGTTACTCACCCGCCACCCCTCCCGGCCGGGCTGGCCATTGTCCTGGCGGCGGTGGGGGCCCCCACCCCCCAGAACCGAGGTTGCCATGGTTACCGCTGAGCCCGCTGAAGCGCCTCCTGGGCACGTCTGCCCCTCCCCCTCGGCCCCCTCCTGTCCCCTTCCCGTGCGCTCCTTGCGCCCCGACCGGGGACAGCCGCCGTGGCGGGTGGGGGCTGGGCCGGCCCGGGCGCCCGGACTTGACCTGATTTCTGGGGGTGGGGGGACCCCGCTTCACCCCCCGCCGCCGCTGGGGGGGCGTGCCCGCGCCGCCGTGCCGGGGAGGGGGCTCCTGGATGGGTGGGTGCGTGCCGGCCTGGTGCTCCGGGTCCGGCGCCCGCGCGCCCACCTGCTCCCGGGGCGGACGGCCCCCCGCCCCTCCCCCAGCAGCCTGGGAACTGGGCAGGGGGCCAGGGCCGGCTGCTTGGTATTCTGGGGCGCGGGGGCCGCGGGCACGGCTCCCGGGCTGGGCAGGGGGCGCGCGGGGGGCCCGGGAGGGGAGTGGGCGAGGGAGAACAGGCGCGGCACAGAGCTGGGGTGGTCCCGGCCTCCCGCTCCCCCGTCGCCTCCCTGGCCGGGAGTTTTTTTTTTTTTGGTTGTGTGTGGGGGGGTTGGGCCGCTGGAAGGCGGGGCGATTCTGGGGGGACGGGGAAGCAGCGGGAGGCGAGCGGTTGCCATGGCGACTGCCACCTCCGTCGGGGAGCTGCTGGCAGGGCGATTGTTGGGGGGACGGACGGACGGGGGAGCGGCGGTGGCCGCCCCGCCAGCCCGGCACACCCTCCCCGCCCGCCCGCGCAGCCATGGCCGAGTACGGGAGCCTCCTGCAGGAGCTGACCGACAACATCACGGTGGAGGACCTGGAGCAGCTCAAGTCCGCGTGCAAGGAGGACATCCCGAGCGAGCGCAGCGACGAGATCACCACGGGCAGCGCCTGGTTCCGCTTCCTCGAGGCGCACAACAAGCTGGACAAAGGTGCCCGGCGCGGGGCGGGAGGGCGCGCGGGAAGGCGCAGGCGGGGCGCACGGGACGCAACAGGGCGCGCGGGACCGGGCAGGGCGCAGGGCGCAGGGCGCAGGGCGCAGGGCGCAGGGCGCGGCGCCCCCAGCCCCGCTGACTCCCGCCCGCCCCCCCCGCAGACAACCTCTCCTACATCGAGCACATCTTCGAGATCTCCCGCCGGCCCGACCTGCTCACCATGGTGCTGGACTACAGGACCCGCGTGCTCAAGATCTCGGCCGAGGATGAGCTGGACACCAAGCTCACCCGCATCCCCAGCGCCAAGAAGTATAAAGGTGCGCCGGGGCAGCGGCTGGGGGCGCCCGGCGGGGGGAGGCGGGCCGGGGGGGCGGGGGGCGTCCCAGCACCCCCTACTGTGTCCGCAGATGTCATCCGGCAGCCGTCCGAGGAGGACATCATCAAGCTGGCCCCGCCGCCCAAGAAGGCCTGAGGCCGGCGCCGCCCTGGCCGGCCGCGCTCACTAACAGCCCTAACCCCGTGCGTGTGTGCGCGTGCGCGCGCGCGCCCCGGCTGTGTGTGTGTCTGTCTGTCTAGCTCTCCTAGGTCCTCTGGGACGGGGTGGGGGGCGGGGCGGGGGCGGGCAGGGCCCCTCGGCACCTTCACCCCTGCTTAGACTGTTGTTGCACGTGCCAGCCCTGGAGGGGAGGGGCGGGGGTCCGGCTCGCCGGGGCCCCCTCGAGGCCCCCGCAGGAAGGAGGGCAGCGGACGCGTCTCCTTTGCACTGATCCCCGCCCGCTCCCCCGCCCGACCGTGCTAACTGTGTGTACATATATACTCGACATATATGTATATTAAACCCGCACTGCCAGCGCGCTGTCCCCGAGTCCTGACTTCGGCCCCGAGGGGGCACCCACCGGGTGGGTGGGTGGCCGGCCGGCGACTGCGCGCAGGCGGAGAGGCCAGGCCCGTCTGACCAGCAGGGCGCCCGGTGGCCTCCCCGTGCCAGGCGCGGCCAGCCCAGGCCTGGTGTGGGCGGGCGGCAGGCAGGGGGGGACAGGGGCGCGCGGGGAGGGGCTGGGGGCGACCCCTCCCCTCCCCGAGCGCGCGGCAGGAGGCGGGAGGCGTTTTGCTCGCGAACGTCTTTATAGATATAAAACAGGCCTCTAGTGGGGAGGGGCGCGCTGCCCTCCGCGGGGGCGGGGGCGGAGGCGGGTGGGGGTGGGGTGGGGGTCGCGCTGGTGGGGGCGCCGGGACAAACCAGGAAACGGTCCAAAGACAAAAAGAAAGGGCCCAGCCGCCAGTCCTGTCCAGCGCGCGCCGCGCCCCCACCCGAGGGGCCCCCTCCCCCCAGCAATCCAAGCAGGCGGCCCGGGGCGGGCGGGGGGCGCGTGTCCACCGCCGGGCCTGGCGCGCGCGGCCTTGGGCGGCCCGGCCGGCTCCTCGCGCCCAAGCCGAGTCCAAAGTGCGATTCTGCCGCTGGGCCGCCCGGCCCCGGCTGCTGCGGGCACGTCCTGCCCGGGGTGGGCTGCGCGGCGGCCGTGGGCCCGTCCGGCCCGCGGGGCTCAGGAGGGCATGCACTGCACGCGGTCGGGGCCCTCCTCCTCGTCCGACGAGCTGGGGGAGTCTGAGTCGGCGTCGGTGGGCACCAGCCACGGCTCTCGCCAGCGCTGTGGAGGGAGCGCAGCGGTCAGCGGTCAGCGACGCCGGCGGGTGGAGGGTGTCCGGCCCCGCCCCGGCCCCGCCCTGCGCACCCGGTGGTGGCGTCGCTGCCGCAGGTGGTGCATGAGGAACCAGAGCATGTGGCTGTCGAAGAGGTCGGCGTGCTGCAGGCTGTCCTCGTCCCGCTCGCGTTTGTTCCTCTTCATCACCTGCGGGCACACGGGCGGCGCTGGCACCGGGCACCCGCACACCCGCGGGGCCCGAGACAGCGCAGGCATGGGGGGGGGGTACACTCACGTCCTTGAGCCCCGCCAGCTCGGTGGACGCCTCGGCCGTGGGCGCCCAGATCTTCACGTCGTGGTCGAGGCCGCTGGTGGCCAGCACGGGCAGGTGGGGGTGGGGCTCCAGGCAGTTGACCTGCCAGGGACATGGGCGGCGGCGGCTCAGGGGGTGGGTGGCCCAGCGGTGCCCTCCGCCGGCCGGGCCGCCAGGCAGAGACCCACGGCAGGGAAGGGGGCGGTGGGAGCGGCACCCGCCCCTCCTGCAGGAGGCGGACAGGGCGGTCCTGGAGGGTCCCGGGACGCCCACCCCTCTGCAGCACCCACACGGTGACCCCGAGTGGCCCCACACGAGGCCTGCCAGCCTGTCCCGCTGGGACCGCCAAGGCGGGCGTCCGCCCCAACAGTCCAGCGGCCACGCACGTGAACCCCTGGGTCCAGGTGGACTCGCAGGTGCCATGCTGGGCACCGTGGTCGCCAAGGCTGCACTCACCACACCGCCCTTGTCGCCCTCCATGAACTGGACGATCTGGCAGGACTCCTTCTCCCACAGGAAGACGTGGCCACAGTCGCTGCCGCTGACCACGAACTCGCTCTTGGGGCCGTAGAAGTTGACGCCTTTCACTGGGGGCGGGGAGGAGAGCCACATGCAGGCGGGGACGGGCAGGGCCCCAGGACGGGGGTGCTGTGCACAGCTCCAGCCTCGCCCGCTGCAGCAACTGCAGCCCCCAGGGAAGGCGGCACCCTGGCCGCACCCCCCAGGTGTTCAGAGCAGAGTGTGCGTGTATACGTCTGTGTGTGTCCGTGTGTGTGCCTACACTTGTGTGGCACGCGCGGCCCCGGGCGGCTCACCCGTGGCGTTGTTTCTGTGGCCCTTGTAGCGCTTGGTGTACTGGGCCCCGTCGCTGTGGGCGGAGCTGAAGAGGTAAATGTCTTCGTCGTTGTAGCTGGCCAGGAGCTCTGCGGGACGAGAGCACGGAGGGGCCGGCTGACGCGGCGGGCGGGAAGCGCCTCTCTCGACCCCGGGCGGCGAAGGGGGTGGGGGAGGGTGGAGGCGGCACACCACGCACCTGTGCCATCGTGGCTGTACACCAGACAGGTGATATTGGCCTTGGACTCACTGTTGACCTGCGAGGGGAGCACCGCGGCTGAGCACTCCCGGGGCCCCGCCACAGAGGCGCCCCCCAGCCCTGCCCCGCCCCGCGCACCAGGTGGTGTGGACAGAACTTCTTGAGCACGCCGTTGTTCTCCTTCTCATCGATCCTCCTCTGGTCGTAGATCCTGCGGGGGAAGCCGGGGACGGCCGGGTCGGCACCCCCGTGCTCGGGCCGGCCTGCGGTGGGCACCCGCCTCGCCCCCACCCCGCCTGCTCTCGGTCAGCCCGGCCCACCCCGGCCTGTGTGCTGTCCCCGGAGAAACACGGTTCCCCGGCACTGCCAGGAGTGGCCGGGCCGGGTTCGGGCCGGGCAGAGAGAAGCCCGGGGCGGCCTCAGCCCGCCACACCTCACCTCACAAACTGGTCTCGGCCGCCCACTGCGAACTGGTGGGTGTTGGCGGGGTCCACAAAGATGGTGTAGAGCCCCACCTTCTTCTCCTTCTCCTTCGTCACCACCAGCTTCCTGGGGGCAAGAGCAGAGGCGAGTGCTCGCAGGAGAACAGTCTTGGTTCTGCTCACGAGCCCACCGCCCGGGGCACACACATCCCCTCCAGGGCACAAAAGCCTTCCCGGGGCTCCGCGTGCTGTCATAGGCGGGAAGCCGTGGGAGCAGGTGGGCCGGGGGTCCTGAGGAGGCCCCTGAACCTCGCAGGGCGGGGCTGGGGAGACGGTTCCTGGCCCCCGACACGGCACCCTGAGGCCCCTAAAGCAAACGATCAATAAGCACCTGCAGGGACTGTCCAGGGGCAGCCCCGTGTCCCCCCCGGGACAGGACCAGAGAGCCGAGGTGGGAGGGAGACTCACGAGGCTGGCCGGTCCTGCCGGAGGTCGATGGTGAAGACCACGGCGTCCTCCCCCGCGGAGAGGAAGGTGCAGGGCGAGTCGGGCTCCAGGGCCAGCTGCGGGGCAGGTGGGGCGTGAGGCCCAGGGGGCGGGCTCAGGCGGGGCCTCGGGGCAGGTGCTCCAGAAACCTGGGCTGCCAGCGCTGCTGCCCCCTCACCCACCCACCCCGGGAGAGGCCGGCGTACGATACCCCCACCCCGTGCCCCGCGCTCGGGTCCGGCCCCTCACCTTGTGGGAAGCCCCCTTGTGCTGGGCCACACGCTTCGTGTTCTTGCAGCACTGAGTGGCCGAGAGCTCGGCCACCCGCACCTGCCCGTCCCGGGCGCACATGGCCAGGGTCGAGTCCCCGCTGTTCGGGAGGAACTTGGCCTGGGGTCAACAGGACAAACGGAAGTGAAGCTGAGCCAGGGGAAACCGAGGCAGCAGTTAAGCCGCGGAGCTCCTAGGCCCGGACACCGACCGGCTCGTGGCAGGGGCGGGAGGCTGAGGGGAGGGAGAGCGTGCGTGGGGCCGGAACGGGAACCAGGAGGAAACGCGGGGCTGCCGCCCTCCCAGAGGAAGGGGTCGGCAGGGGGTCCCGGGGCCCGCGCGGCTCACCTGGAAGACGTTGCTCTTGTGGCCGCTCTCGAAGTCCAGCACGGGCCGGCGCCGCACCCAGTCCCAGACGAGCACGCGCAGGTCGTCGCTGCCGCTGGCCAGCCAGGTGCCGCGCTGGTTGAAGTGCAGCGTGTTCACGCAGCCCGTGTGGCCCTCCAGCCCGTGCTGCAGGCGGAAGCGCTGCACGAAGACGCGCGCCCCGCAGGCCTCGCGCACGAAGCGGGCGCCGCCGCCCAGCGCCCGGGCCCGCAGCGCCGGCAGGGCCCGCCAGCGCGGCCGGGGCAGCGCCCAGGTCTCCGAGGACACCCAGTCCTCCAGCGCCCGCTCCTCGTCCGACGAGTCCTGCTCCCGGCTGGGCCGCTTGCGCAGCGCCCGGCGCCGGGGCCGCGGCGGCGCGGCGTCCTCGTCCTCGTCGTCCTCGTCGTCCGAGGGGCCGGGCGCCTGGCTCTCCTCCGTCACCGAGTAGTGGCCGGTGTCCTCCATGCTGTCCGAGTCCTTGTCCTCCCCCGAGCTCTCCGTGTCGGAGCCGCGGCTCTCGGTGCTGGCGCGCGTGGGGCCGCCCTCGTCCCCCACCAGGCTCAGGCTCAGGTCGGACGCCTCCACCTCGATGCCCGACGACGTCTCCCGGCCCTCCTCCGCCCCGGACATGTCCTCGGGGCTGCTGGACAGGCTGCCTGCGGGGGCAGAGCGCGGGCGGGCGGGCGGGCGGTGGGCGCGGGCAGACGGGCCGAGGCAGCAGGGCGCGGCCGGCCGGCAGACGGAGCAGCTCGGGACGCGGCACGGCCAGGGCGCACGGCCGTGGAGGAAGCCGCCTCGCCCCCCGAGGTCCCGACGTCCAGGGAACGCAGGGAAGGACGGGGCAGGGACCTGCTCGGGGTCGAGTCTGGCCACCTCGGCCCCAGGACGGCACGGCGGGGCCCCGAGACGCACCCATGGCGCACGTGTGCACGCACGCACACGCACCTGCACCGGCACCCACTCCCAGCACACACGCCAGAAGCACCAGCTCCCCCAAGTGTTTGTGTGCATGCACACATGCACGCGTGTGCGTGCACGCGTGTACACGCACATACGTGTGCACGCACACAGGCACAGAGCGTCAGAGGCGTGGTGCTGCCGTCAGCAGCAGGCTCCTCTGTGGGGACGAGGCCATGCCAGCCTGGAGGGGAGCCCCACGCCCCCGCAGCGCCGGTTGGCACGTGCCCAGACGTGACCGGCCAGAGCCCCCACCATCCGGGCGCAGGGCCGAGCCCACATCTCAGCCGGGCCCTCGTCCCCACCGTAGTCAGCGGCACCTCCTGGCAGGCCCCCCGTGCGGCGGGCAGCATGGCCCGGCCAGCTGGCACTCACCATTCGCCAAGTCTGTCTTGCCATCTGCGCTGCTCCCTTCCATGGACATCCTGAAGGCCGTGGACGCAGCCGCCCTGGGTTCGGGAGAGGAAGGAGGCGAGCCATCAGGAGGGGCGGGAGGACTCGCGGCCAGAGTCCCCCCCGCTCAGCTGCCCACGTTGCCACTGGACCATCGGCCCTCTCTCCGCGAGGCTCCTGGGCGCTGGTTCCCCCCCCCAGCATGCGTGGACCCCCAACCTCCCCCGGACACGCCCCGTGAGGCCCTGGCTGCCCAGAGCTGGCGCCATGGGCAGAGAACAGTGTCGCTCACAGTTGGTGTGTGGGCCTTTCAGCGCCCGGACAAAGGCCCTGCTGAGGACGGAGCATCACCGCCCCGTCCCCGGGCCCAGCGGCCTCCACGCTCTCAACGGCCCTTTCATTGCTCCCACGAGCCGCCCGGAGCAGGCGGCGGTCCTTCCCCTGCACCCCGAGCGGGTCCTCGGCCGGGAGGAACGCCGGCCCGGGTGTAGCCGCGGCCCAAGGGGTCCTGCTCATCTCCAGGGAATCTGGCGCGCAGGACGGCCGAGCCCCAGGACGGGCAGCTGTCACGTCGGGGCTGACCCGGCCTACAGCACATGCCCTTGGCCCGGGGTCTCCTGTCCGTCTGGAGTGGCCCCTGGCCCCGGGCAGGGCCCCCGGGAACCAGCACGGCCGCGTGCGGGCACAGACGTGGGCTCTGGCGCCACCCAGTGGCTCCCGGGTGCCCCACAGGCCGGCGGTGCCAGACTGGGCACCAGGGGCTGGAAAGGCCCAGCCAGCAAGGACAAACCCCGGAGGAAGAGGCACGCGAGCTCACGCCCTCTCGGCCACACGGGCTGGACCGCCCCGCGGAGCTCGGCAGGACCCAGCAGTGCACGGGCCACGCTTGGTGCCGGGGAGACCCCGGCTCTCGGGGGGCTTCGTGGGGGAGCTGGGAAGGCACGGGAAGGGGCACCCCGACTCTGAGCGTGCGCGCCCCGAGCTCCGACGGTCAGGCTGGCCAGCGGGTCTGGCCCCTGCTCAGTGCAGCCATTCCTACCCCGATGGGAAGGAAAAGGGTGAGTGGAGGGGGACACGTCCGGCTCAAGGACGCTGGGCAAGGCCAGGCTAATGAGGGCGCTCTGTGTGTGTGTGTGTGTGTGTGTGTGTGTGTACACACACCAGGAAGACCGTCCCCAGGGCTGGGCCTGCTGCCGCGGCAGAGGCGAAGGGGCAGAACTATCTCCTGCCTGTAAGCCTGCCAGGGGCAGCCGCGTGCACGGAGGAGATGGCAGCTCGGCCTGGGTCCAAACCCCAGCTGGGAAAGTGGGCGCAGACACGCACCGAGGGAGCGGGCGGGAACCCGAGACGGCGGCTGGGCCCCAGCCAAGGCGCCTCACACCTGCCTCCCCCCGGAGGAGGAACCCCGGGCACGGCGGCTGGGGCACAGCCCCGAGGCAGGAGCCGAGGATCCCCCGGGGGCAGGGCCCGCCACACCGGCCACAGCTGGCTGAGGCCCTCTGGGGCCCGAGCACAGCCCCGAGGCCGAGGGTGCAGAGGCCCAGCCCCACGGGCCCCCAGACGCCCACCAGCTCACGGCAGGCAGGCGCGAACCTGAGAGGGGCTGAGAGGGCCCACGAGCCACCGCGCACACGCTCTGCCGTGCTCAGATCAGGGCGCTCGAGCACGCACATATGCACACACACACTCAGACGCTCAGCTCTGCTATGCTGATTGGGGTGCTCGAGTACGCATGCACACAAACACACAAGCACACACACGCAACACAGACACTCAGCTCTTCCATGCTTAGATCAGGACACTTGAGCACGCACTCATGCACGCACACACACACACACACACACTCAGACGCTCAGCTCTGCCATGCATAACTCAGACATACCTGTGCGCACGATGCTGCCCAGCACACACACACACTCTTGATCTGTCCCTCTGTAAAGAAGTGCAGGCAGTCTGAGGACACTGCTGGTGAGCCCCCGGTGGGCACAAGGCAGGCGGTCCCGGGACCCTCCAAGACTCTTGCGAGGGGCCTGGGCTGCTTCCCCAGACGCAGAGACCGCCCCCTCCCCAAACTCCTCAAAGCTGCCACATCTCCCGGGCACAGGTGGGACCTGGGGGAAGGGGCAGGCACAGATGCGTACCCATCGTGGCACGCTCCCCCTTGCCGGTCCTTCTCCCCTAAAAGGCCAGAGGCCGGCCAGGACAGGGCTTCCCTCGGCCCTCTCCACCTCCGGCTGAGAGCCGAGGAATGCCCTCTAACCCGGAAGTGGAAGTGCTGGGCAACGGGCACGGAGATGCCACTCACGGTGTGGGGAGCGCCTGGGAGGACGGAGCGGGGTGGGGGGACACGGCCGGTGCCACCTGCAGGGGCAGCAGAGACCACAGACAGGCTGCAGGAGCGCCCTCCGGCCCCGCGGGGCAGAGTCTAGCGCAGCTCCCAAGAGGGTTAAAATTACACCTGCCCGTGATGCAATGCCTCCCCGGGTGCTGGCCGCCCTCCTGGGGGCCAAGGCGGGAGAACGGGGCGGGAGCCCCCCCGCCCTCGCCCGCCAGACACACCCACGGCCGCTGCTTCCTCAGACCCGCATCCTGGCCCCAGCCCTCACGCCCTGCAAACGGTTAGCTAGAGCCGCACGCATTCTCGGCCAGGGCACCGGACGGAGACTCGGGCTCTAGGTCCATTAAGCACGAGTCGGCGAGACAGAGATAAAACGGCTGTAGGGCCAGGGACGGGCACCGCCACGGTGCCCTGGGCCCCACGAGGGCAGCTCCCGAGACCCAGAGCCCCGACAGCCCCCAAGCCCCGAGCCCGAGCACGAGCAAACTCAAAGACGTGCCAGAAAAGGGGCTGGACCACGGCGTCCCGTGTGGGGGAGGCCCCGGAGGGTCCCCAAGCGACCCGGCACAGCCAGACACACCAGGCCCCAGGCAGACGTGAAGGGTGGCCCTTCTGCGCTCCTCAGGTCAGCGTCCGCGGGCGGCAAAGCAAAAAGGGAAACGCTGGCCGTGAGCATGCACACGCGTGTACACACACACACACACACACGAGTCTCTGTCCCACGCACACGTGTGTGCTACGTGTGTGCGCCTCCCTGACCCCCACCCACTCCTCGGCGCGCCGGCGGCTCTGACTCTTCCAGGCACCTGGATTCCGTGAGGGTGAAGGAAGGAGCCGATCATTTGAGCTCCCTGATAATCAGCTTAAAAACACAAAGCACCTAATTCCACTTCAAACGCCACCTCCAACCCCCAGTGCCGCAGAGCAAACACTCGACCCGCTGCTCCTCCGCTGTCTCCCCCGCCAGCGGCCCCACGCCGTGTTCCGGGGTGCGGGCCGCCGTTGGGGACCGGCCCCTGCCAGGCTGGAGCCCCCCACCCCCACCCCCACCCCGAGGTGCCAGGAAGCTACCCACAGCCCCCCCCCCACCGGCCCGGCTTGCACTTTGCAAGCCGGACATGCCCTCGGGTACAGAGTGACAGACGCTCGAGAGTCGCCGGTCACCTGCCCACCACACCCAGGTGCAGCCTGAGAACCGGCGAAGGTGGCGGCTCACCTATCAGGCCGGCAGGCCCCAGAGGGAGAGCTCGGCCCCCCAGCCTGAGCACCGAGTGGTCACGGCTGCTAAAACGCCCCATCGGGCGACGGGGACCAGCTCCTGGACGCCCCCCGCATCCGCCCCGCAGCACGCTAGCTAGAGAGAAGTGTCCACCAGCTGGACTCGCTCACCGTCCCGGGCAGGAGCCGTGGACGGCTGCCTGGTGCCGGGAGGGTCAGGCCTCCTTCCACGAGGACCTCAGTCCCCCGCCCTCCCCAAGGCACAAGCCTCCCGAGACGCGGTGCCCGTGTCCCCCCAGGGCTGCCCACGCTGGCCCCGGGCACTCACCGGTCCCCCGCTGGGCCTCGCTCTGTGCCTGGACCAAGGTCAGCTGCGGCCACGGGGAAGCGAAGTTGCAGGGTGGGTGCTCCGGACACGAGGTCCTCGCTGGGAGAAGAAGAGGGTCCCGGAGGGGTCCAGGCTCCGGGCAGCGCCCGGTGGGGTGGGGGGCCCTGCGGACAGAGAGGGGCCCGGGTGACGTGTCGCGGGATCGCGTTACCTGGCCGCCCGCTCAGGTGTGCAAACAGACACCGGGCCACGGGGCCGACGTGGCCACGCGCGCCCCCACCCCCCGTCCCCGTCCCCGGGGACGCGCGGGGGTCGGGGTGGGGGTCGTCCGGGCCAGGCCGGGGGTCGCGGGGGTCCGGAGGCGGCCCAAGGTCGCTCGGGGTCCCTCACCTCCGCGCCGGGCTCCGGGGCGTCGGCTCGAGCGGCACCTGCGGACACAGCGCGGGTGACGCGGGGACCCCCGGGCGCGCGCGGGGTCGGGGGCGCGGGGAGGGCGCGGGCCGGGCCGGGCGGGGGCGGGGCGGACCGGACCGCGTTTGGGTCGGGCCGGGCCGGGCCGGGTCGCGCCTAGATGCGCCGGGCCGGGCCGGGCCGGGCCGGGCCGGGTCGGGTCGGGCCGGGCCGGGTCGGGTCAGGCTGGGTCGCGTTGGGTCGGGCCGGTTCGGGCAGGGCCGCGTCGGACCGCGTTTGGGTCGGGCCGGGCCGGGTCGCCCCAGATGCGTCGGGCCGGGCCGGGCCGGGCCGTGCCTAGCTGGGTCGGGTCGGGTCGGGTCGGGTCGGGCCGGTTCGGGCCGGGTCGCGGGTCGGGCCGGGTCGCGCCTGGCTGGGTCGGGCCGGGTCGGGCCAGGCCGCGTTGGGTCGGGCCGGGTCGAGCCTAGCCGGGCCGGGTCGCGGGTCGCGGGTCGGGCCGGGTCGCGGGGCGGGGCGGGGCGGGGCGGGTCCGGCCGGCGCGAGGGGGGCGCGGGGCGGGGGACGGGGGTCAGCGCGGCCGCGGGGACGCCGGGGACACGGACCGGGGGCGCGGGCGGTCACAGGCGCGGGCGCGGGCGCGGCGCGGCCGCCCGCCTCCCGCCTCGGCTCGTCCTGCTCCCCGCGGCCGCTCCGACCGGCCCCGGCCCCGCCGCCCGCCCCTCGGCCGCCGCCAGCGCCGCCGCCATCTTACTCGGGCCCGCGGCCGCCGCCTCCGCGCGCCGCCTCTGCGCCTGCGCCGCCGCGCTTTGCGGCCCGTTTGCGACGCCGCGCTGCCGGGCGGCGGGGCCGCGGCCAACGGAAGCGGCGCGTGCGCGTGCGCAGCGTGGGGGGTGGCGGAACCGGGAGCACGGGGCGGGGCTTGCCGGGGGCCGGGGCGGGGCTTCTTGTGCGTGGGGCGGGGCTTCCTCGCGTGGGGCGGGGCTTGTCGGGAGCAGGGGCGGGGCTTCTTGCGCGTGGGGCGGGGCTTCCTCGCGTTGAGGGGCTTACCGGGAGCCGGGGCGGGGCTTCCTGCGCGCGGGGCGGGGCTTGCCGGGAGCCGGGGCGGGGCTTCTTGTGCGTGGGGCGGGGCTTCCTCGCGTTGGGGGGCTTGTCGGGAGCCGGGGCGGGGCTTCCTGCGCGCGGGGCGGGGCTTGCCGGGAGCCGGGGCGGGGCTTCTTGTGCGTGGGGCGGGGCTTCCTCGCGTTGGGGGGCTTGCCGGGAGCAGGGGCGGGGCTTGTCGGGAGCAGGGGCGGGGCTTCCTCGCGTGGGGCGGGGCTTGTCGGGAGCAGGGGCGGGGCTTCCTCGCGTGGGGCGGGGCTTCGCCTGCAGGTGCCGCGTCAGCCCACCTGGCTCCCTTCTCGCCGGGAGACTCTGGTCGTGTCCCCCCAGGGAGGATCGTCCAGGGTGCTTCCGGGGAAGAACCCAGGAGCCGGAGCGTTAGGAGGGCCGGGCAGCTGAGCCAGGTCCGACCCCGCCATCCATATGGTTCCCCCACCCCCACCCCCCTGGAATGCCAGGAGTAACCCCTGAGCATCGCCGGGTGTGACCCCAGAAAGCAAAAAATAAAGAAAAGAACACCCAGCTCGCAAGGGAAACTGCCTCCCCTCCCTATCCCCGTGGCAGTCGTCGCCAGCAGGACAAGGGCAGCGTGGGCCCCTGGTGGCTGCCAGCCCTAGTGGGTGACGGGGGCCCCAACTGTGCTCAGAGGGCCCCTGCCACTGGCCCTGCTGCCCATCACGCCGCTGTCGGCTAACTGCCGCCTACTGGGCCTGAGATGACCCTGGACCCGGGTCCCAGGCTGGGAGGCCAGTGACCCCAGGCAGAGTCTGACCTGCCCGTCCCTGGGCCTCTGAGTGGACCGACCCCACAGCAGCACTGACTTGTGTCCAGCTGGCTCTGGGGTGCTGCCCTTCGCCTCTCCGTCTGTCCTCACCCTGACCCCTGTGACGGCCGGGCCCCAGACCCCGACCCTGCGCCTAAAAGCCAGGCCGGCGGCCACAGCGGCTGAGAGGACGGGAGAGGCCGACAGGAAGAACACAGGCGCGTTTATTATTAGAATGTTTATTATTAGTCAGAGGACCAACCTGACCCACACCGGCCCTTCCCAACCCACCTCCCAGAATCAGGGGCAGAGCCCGGGTCGGGAACTGTCCCCTCATGTCCTCCAGGTGGACGCCCCTTCCTGTGGGCTGCACAGTGGCGGCCAGCAGTGGCCGGGAAGTGAGGGGCCCGGGAGCAGGCGGCTCGGAGGAGACCTGGCATGAACGGTGTTGGGGATGAGAGGGCAGTGGACGGCCGGGGTTGGGCTGGCAGATCACACAGTGCAGGGGGCCCAACGCCTCGCTGCCCTCCATCCCCTTGGCCCACCCCGTGCTCCCGGAGGGCAAAGCTGAGCCGGTCCCCGAAGTCCCCGCCCGAGAAGGGCAGGACAAGGCACAGAGGCCTGGGGGTGAGACCCGTGCTGGGCCGGGGGTCCGAGAGGGTCCCTTCCTTCACCCACTGGGCAGGGGCCTGGCCGGCAGCAGACACCGTGCGCCCGGGGCAGGCCTGGCTCACCCCGGGGCGGGGGGGAGGACGTGCCCTGTGGCAGGGCGGGACTGGAGCTGGTGCCTCACATGGTCACGCACTGCTCGCCGTTGGCACCGGGGGGCCCGGCCAGGTTGAGGGCGTCGAGGTCGAAGTTGAGGCCGGGAGGCTGGAGGCAAGGAAGGCCGCCGGATGGTGACGGCGCCCGCCTGGGCACGGGCCCCGCCCCGGCGTCCCCGGGGTCCCCCGTCCACTCACCATCTCCCCGGCCAGCTCTTTCGGAGGGTGGCCCAAGTCCTGCAGCTGGACAAGGAGGAGAGAACGTGAGATGGCGCCGGGGGGCGAGGGGACGGGGAGGGGCCCCGCGGGGGCCCACCTGCTGCATCAGGTCCAGCACGGTCTCGAAGCGGGCCTTCTGGGTGGCCTCGCTGTCGGCGGGGGTCTCGGCCTCGAACTGCTCGCAGATCCTCGCCATGACGCCGTGCTGCTCCTGGTACTTCTCCAGCTGCTCGGCCGAGAGCGACTCCCGGTGACTCTGCAGCCACTCTGGGTACTGAGGAGGGACGGGCCGGAGACCAGGGTGAGGGGCCGGGGCCGGCGCACCCCCCCCCACGCGCCACCAGGGGGCGACCGGCCTCCCAGCAGGGCCGAGGCCCGGTCCCTCCCGCGGCCGGCGCCAGGCACCTTCTCGGTGATCTCCTTCAGGGACGGGTACAGCACGTCCTTGGACAGCAGGTTCTGCATGATGCCCTGCATGAGGGGCAGGATGCTGCCGTCCCCGTCCCCGTCCCCCATGCCCAGCCCCTCCATGGCCTTGCTCAGCTCCTCTTCGGACATGCCCGAGTTCTGCGGAGGAGGCGGGGAGAGGCGGCTCAGAGGCGGGGGGAGGCGGGGTGGGGGCGCGGGGGGACCCCGCCGGGCCCCTCACCTGCAGGTCGTTGGCGTTCCGGGCGAGCCCACTCAGCGTCTCCTTGAGGCAGGAGGTGAACTCCTGCTGGGAGGTCACGTCGCTGCCTGGGCGGGAGTGGACGGAGCCCGGGTCACCGCGGCCGGCCAGCCGGCTCCTGCCCGCCTGCCCGCCGCCCGCCGGACCGGGAGCCCGGGCCCCTCACCCACCCACTCTCCCCGCCGCCTCGGAGAGCTTCTGGAACTGCTCCACCAGCTGCGGCTGCTCCTCGGCCAGCTCCTTCATGGCCTTCTCGAACTCGGCCGTGGCCTGGGAGGCCAGCTCGCTGTCGAAGAGCTCCTGGAAGAACTTCTCCTGCGAGGCGAACAGGGCGTCCTAGGGCGGGAGGGAGGGAGGGAGGGGCGGGCAGGTCGGCGGGCGCCCGGGGGGGCAACGGGGCCCGACCCCGGCCCCGGCCCGGACCCCCGCCAGGCACGGTACTTTGGCAGTGTCCCCCGGCGAGCGCTTCTGTGGCCCCGAGGCGTCAGGGGCGGTGGCGGGCGGAGGGGGGACGGGCGAGGGTTTGGCTTTCTCGAAGTCATCGAGGGCACCTGTCGGCAGGAGGCCGCGTCCGTGAGGGCTGGCCCGGGCAGTGGTCAGAGCAGCCTCTGGAGGCCCCCCGCTGCTCCCCTCTGCTCTCTCGACGCCCCGGGACCCCTCGCCTGTGCCCTCGGGAGGCCTCGGCTCACCTCGTGGCCGCACAACCGGGCACCAGGGCCCGCCCCGCCAGGCCCGGCGCCAGCACCCCAGGCCTGTGGGCACTGCCAACTTGCGCACTCACTTGGCGCCCCTCCCTGACCCTGTTCTGTTCCTCTGCCCCTGGGCAGAGCGTGGGGTTCATCTCTGCCCCATGAGCGGCAGCCAGAGAGGGGGTGGGGGGAGGGGGTCAGCACGCCGGGACTCCGGGCAGGAGGCCAGTGGCTGAGAAAAGAACATCCACCCCCCCAACCCCCGGGGACACGCTGTCTCTCCCTGAGGCCAACCCGGCTCCCCTTTCTGACAGCAAGGAGGGAGGGCGGTGGGAGCGACTGACTGCGCAGGGGTGACGGGGGGACGAGCAGCCGGCTCCAGGGCCAGAGCGAGGGCCACTGGACAGGGTGGGGGGGGAGGAAGGCAGGGAAGCGGGACAGGGGAGGGGTGAGGCAGGCAGCAGCGAGGGCAAGACGGCAGGGGTGAGAGGTGCAGGGGCGGGTGAGCGATGAAGGCGATGGAGCCGGGGTGAGGGGGTGGGTGGTGAGGGCAGTGGGGCAGGGGTGAGTGGCGCGGGGCAGGGAGCGAGGGCAACAGTGCAGGAGGGAGGGGGAGTGTGGTGGATTCAGTTCCGACCCGGGGAATAGGGCAGGGGGGAGGCAGAGGGGGAGGGGGAGGGGGCCCACCCTGCAATGAACAGGGGCGGGAAGACTCACTCAGCAGGTACCAGCCAGGGACTGAGGTGGGAAGCGTGGGAGCAGGACGGGTGAGGGCCCAGCAGCGACAGGACGGGGGAGTGAGGGAGGGAGGGCAGGCGTGAGCAGGGGTGGGTCTCGGCTGTGACATCGTCAGGGCAGGGGTGAGGGGAGAGGGTCTCGGCTGTGGCATGTCAGGGCAGGGGAACAGGACAGCAGGGGGGGAGGGTCTGGCTGTGACTTGTGTGTGCACATGGGGGACAGGGCAGGGGGGAGGAGGGGAGGGTCTAGCTGTGACCCCTTAGCAAGGGGAGAGGACAGGGGGGAGACGGGGAGGGTCTGGCTGTGACCCCTTAGCATGGGGGTCAGGGCAGGGGTGAGGAGGGGAGAGGCGGGTCTGGCTGGGACCCCTTAGCCCAGGGGACAGGGCAGGGGGGAGGAGGAGAGGGTCTGGCTGTGACCCCTTAGCATGGGGGTCGGGGCAGGGGGGAGGAGGGGAGGGTCTGCCTGTGACTTGTGTGTGCATGTGGGGAACAAGGCAGGCGGGAGGAGGGGAGGGTCGGGTCTGGCTGGGACCCCTTAGCAAGGGGAGAGGACAGGGGGGAGACGGGGCGGGTCTGGCTGGGACCCCTTAGCCCAGGGGACAGGGCAGGGGGGAGGAGGAGAGGGTCTGGCTGTGACCCCTTAGCATGGGGGTCGGGGCAGGGGGGAGGAGGAGAGGGTCTGGCTGTGACCCCTTAGCATGGGGGTCGGGGCAGGGGGGAGGAGGGGCGGGTCTGGCTGTGACCCCTTAGCCCAGGGGACAGGGCAGGGGGGAGGAGGAGAGGGTCTGGCTGTGACCCCTTAGCATGGGGGTCGGGGCAGGGGGGAGGAGGGGAGGGTCTGGCTGGGACCCCTCGGCCCGGGGGACAGGGCAGGGGGGAGGAGGGGAGGGTCTGGCTGGGACCCCTCGGCCCGGGGCAGGGGGCGGCGAGGGGGGCGCCCGGTCACGTGACGCCGCGGGCCCGGCCGGTTCCCGACCGGTGCCGAGCGGCCGGCGGGCGCGAGCGGCCCGAACCGGCGTCGCCGTGAGCCCGGCCGAGCCCCGCGCCGCCCCCGCCGACGGGCCCCCGCCCCCGCCCGGCCCGACCCCCGCCCGCCCCCCGCCCGGCCCGACCCCCGCCCTCACTCTCCAGCAGCGCGTCCAACTCCCGGTCCGCGTCGCCGCCGCCGCCGCCGCCGTCCGCCGCCGCCGCCATCTTCGCCTCCGACTCGCCGTAGGGGGCGGGGCCCGGCGACACGCCCCTTCCGCCCGCCCGGCCAATCGCGGGCCGCCCCGGCGCCGCCATCTTTAAAGGGGCCGGCGCCGCCATCTTTAAAGGGTCCGGGCGCCGCCGCCGGAGGCTCCGGGTCTCTCTGCGCCTGGCCCCAAAGCGGCCGTGCAGGTGCCTGGCACGCGGCCTACGCGCCCGGGTTCGACCCCCGGCACCCCACGGGGTCCCCCCCAAGCCCGCCGGGAGTCGGCCCCGAGCACAGAGCTTGGAGTGATCCCTGAGCACTGCCAGGAGTCAGGAGTGAGCCCTGAGCACAGAATTGGGAGTGAGCACTGAGCCGGGAGTCATCCCCGAGCACAGAGCCGGGAGTCAGCCCAAGCACAGAATTGGGAGTGAGCACTGAGCCGGGAGTCAGCCCCGAGCACAGAGCCGGGAGTGAGTCCCTGAGCACAGAGCCGGGAGTCAGCCCCGAGCACAGAGCCTGGAGTGATCCCTGAGCACTGCCAGGAGTCAGGAGTGAGCCCTGAGCACAGAATTGGGAGTGAGCACTGAGCCGGGAGTCATCCCCGAGCACAGAGCCGGGAATCAGCTCTGAGCACAGAGCCGGGAGTCAGCCCCGAGCACAGAGCTAGGATTGAGTCCTGAGCACAGAGCCGGGAGTCAGCCCTGAGCACAGAGCTGGAAGTCAGCCCTGAGCACAGAATCGGGAGTGAGCACAGCCGGGAGTCATCGCCGAGCACAGAGCTGGGAGTCAGCCCTGAGCACAGAGCCGGGAGTCAGCCCTGAGCACAGAGCGGAGAGTCAGCCCCGAGCACAGAGCCGGGAGTCATTCATGAGCACAGAGCCTGGAGTTGACCCTGAGCACAGAGTCGGGAGTCAGCCCTGAGCACAGACCTAGGGGTGATCCCTGAGCACAGAGCCGGGAGCGAACCCTGAGCACTGCCAGGTGTGGCCCCCAAACCTGAAACGAAACAGTTCTTCGCTCGCCACTTTGTGCCCTGCGCCCGCGTCTTCGTCAGATCTGTCCCCAGAGGACACCTTGCCCGTAAACTCCGTGTCCGTTGAATGGAATCAGGCAGGCGGAGAAGAAGCCGCCTCGGGGCCTGGGCCTGAGCCAGGAGCCGCACCTGGTAAGTGGGCAGTTAAGAGGCTCCGAACAGGTGAGGACGTGGAGCTGGCACGGGTGAAAGGCTGACTCCTGCCTTGCCTCCGTTCCCTACCGCGGCCGACCAGGAACTGTGACTTTCAGCCAACGTCCAAGGCAGATGCCGTGAAGGGCAGCCACCAGGCTTGGCTAATGAACGGACGTTAAAAGGAAGTTTGTGTGTGTGTGTGTGTGTGTGTGTGTGTGTGTTTGGCTTTTTGGGTCACACCTGGCAATGCACAGGGGTTACTCCTGGCTCTGTACTCAGGAGTTACTCCTGGCGGTGCTCAGGGGACCCTATGGGATGCTGGGAATCGAACCCGGGTCGGCCGCATGCAAGGCAAACGCCCTCCCCACTGTGCTATCGCTCCAGCCCCGCAAGTTTGTTTTGTTTTTCTTTTTTGGGGGGCTGGAGCGATAGCACAGCGGGGAGGGCGTTTGTCTTGCACGTGGCCGACACCGCCAACCCGAGTTCGATTCCTCCGTCCCTCTCGGAGGGCCCGGCAAGCTACCGAGAGTATCTCGCCCGCACGGCAAAGCCTGGCAAGCTCCCCGTGACGTATTCGAGATGCCAAAAACAATTAACAAGAAGTCTCATAATTTGTTGTGAGACATTACTGGCGCCCGCTTGAGCAAATCGGTGAACAACAGGAGGACAGTGCTACAGTGCTATTATTAAATATGAAATTCTGCTTGTGCATCACTCAAGACAGATCTAAAAATGAAGATCAGGGCTGGAGCGATAGCACAGCGGGTAGGGTGTTTGCCTTGCACGCGGCTGACACCGCCAACCCGAGTTCGATTCCTCCGCCCATCTCGGAGGGCCCGGCCAGCTACCGAGAGTATCTCGCCCGCACGGCAAAGCCTGGCCAGCTCACCGTGACGTATTCGAGATGCCAAACACAGTGACAACAAGTCTCACACTGGAGACGTTACTGGGTCCGCTAGAGCAAATCGATGACCAACGGGAGGACAGTGCTTCCTGTGCTTTCTTCTTTTTGGGGGGCTTGGAGGTGTGGGCAGGCGGGAGGTGCTTGACCATACCTGGTGGTGGTGCTCGGGAGTCACTCTGAGCTGTTCCAGCAGTTTGAGGCACCGGAGGTCGCTCCCAGCCTTGCATTTTTCTACTTCTGTTTTTTTTTTGTTTGTTTGTTTTTTTGCTTTTTGGGCCACACCCGGCGATGCTCAGGGCTAACTCCTGGCTCTGCACTCAGGAATCACTCCTGGCAGTGCTCAGGGGACCCTATGGGATGCTGGGAATCGAACCCGGGTCGGCCGCTTGCAAGGCCAACGCCCTCCCCGCTGTGCTATCGCTCCAGCCCTCTACTTCTGTTTTTAGCTATAAAACAAAGCTCCCAGTGCTCGCTTCGGCAGCACATATACGAAAATTGGAACGATACGGAGAAGATTAGCATGGCCCCTGCGCAAGGATGACACGCAAATTTGTGAAGCGTTTCGTATTTTTTTGTATAATCGAAACCCAAGCACGAAAATTTGTAAGTCTACAACTGTACCTCATGGTGTCTCACTAATAAAAATTTAAAAAAAAAAACCTCCCGGAAGCGTCTGGACGCATATGCTTATAGTCTAGGTCTCCTTCTCGGAGAACCCGGCAAGCTACCGAGAGTTTCCTGCCTGCACGGCAGAGCCTGGCAAGCTCCCGTGGCATATTTGATATGCCAAAAAACAGTAACAATGATGTGTCTCATTCCCCTGACCCTGAAAGAGCCCCCAATATGGCACCGTTGGGAAGGACAAGTTAGGAGAGCTGCTAAAATCTCAGGACTAGGATGAATGCAGACGTTATTGGTGCCCACTTGAGCAAATCGATGAATAACAGGATGACAGTGAGACAGTGTTTTTAGCCAATCTGTTAGCACCTCTCCTGCCCTCCTGGCCCATGGGGAACACCAATACATGTAGGATAACATTGGAATGTCCTTTCAGCCTTGACGTGACAGCAGGGAACTTAGGTTTATCGGGTTACACCCATCACAGTGCTCCCGAGTCACTCCCATTCCTTTGTTTATCTGTAAACTCTTTTCTGTGTTCTCCTCCCCGACCAGTTAATCACCTTTTTCTCTAATCAGATTCTGTTAGTTGTAAGACCAAATCCTTCTAAGGACACTGAACTTGTAAGTTATATCTTTTGCACACAAATCACACAAATCACAAATCATCCTGTTAATCGTCGATTGCCTCGAGCAGGCCCCAGTAACGTCTCCTTCGTCCTAGCCCTGAGATTATATTCAAGGCTCTTTAGGAGAATGAGACCCATCATTGTTACTGGTATTTGGCATATTGGGTCCGCCACAGGGAGTTTGCCAGACTCTGCCGTGTGGGCATGTTACATTCGGTAGCCTGCCAGTTTGTCCAAAGTAGGAATGAGATAATAAGATGTCATAATAAGATGTCGGTTCCGGGACCTGGTTTTTATAGTCTCTGAGTCTTGGCCGTTGATGGGATTACACGGCGCCAGGGGCCCAGTTGGTGGGTGTGACCCCCGCCTACTGGAATTTGGAGGATCTGGGTGGAGGATGCTCGGCCCAAATCCGAGTAGGCTTGGAGATCTCGGCCCCGGAACCCGCGTGGCTTTGTCCCTCTGCCAGTACCTTCATGTGTGCGGAGAGTGGTCTCAGCATGGTGGTGGCTGGTCTTTTGCACAGTTTACCTTAAAGCAGTGTCCTTCCTGTATGGACACAGGAAGATGGTTAATATTGTGCGTCTGTAACTTGGGAGTTAATTGACTCTGAATAATATTCACTCCTGGACTGCTTTCTCGACTCAGTTGCCTTAGTTCCTAGCACCCCAAGAGCAGGGTCCCAACGAGGGACTGAATGGACCCAGGGCAGGCTCTGAGCTACTCTGGCATCAAAATGGGCCAGGCCAAAGCGCCACCATACTCAACTATAAGTTGAGGGCACGATCAACGACAAGACCAAGACCCTGGTGGGGTTAGGAAGACCACCCTGGCCTGAGGACTGCGGAATATATACTGAGACATCCTCAGGAAGAACCAAACTGTAAGTTTACATCTCTGACTGTGCACATACGGAATGACATTGCTAGAAATATTAGAAGTAGATGTACCACAATTATTTAAGTGGATTACTAGCTGAGGAAAGAACAGACCCTCCTTGGGATCCCACCCGTGAGCGGATCTCCTAGTAATCTGGAGTCACCTCTTTAGATGAGATTTTGTCCTTGAGTTAATCTCCTGGAGGAGTGGCCTTACCCCTCCTTGTTGATTTGTTATTGTTCATAGACTAAGACTGATTGAATAAATGGCAACTGAGCGATAGCACAGCAGTAGGGCGTTTGCCTTGCGCGCAGCTGATCGGGCTGAGGCGGGTTCGATTCCTCCGCCCCTCTCGGAGAGCCCGGCAAGCTACCGAGAGTATCTCGCCCGCATGGCAAAGCCTGGCAAGATACCCGTGATGCCAATATGCCGAACACAGTAACAACAAGTCTCACGATGGAGACGTTACTGGGCCCGCTCGTTCAAATTGATGAACAACGGGAGGACAGTGCGGTGCAATCAGCGACCGGCTTGGTCCTCGTTCTTCCGCTGCCTGCCCATCGCCAACAGCCGTCCTGATCCGGTCCATACACAGCGGCTCGAGAGAGCCCGCGAACATCCTTCTGCGTGCATATTTTTCACAGATGCACGGTACTCTCTCCCCCAACCACCTCTGAATAAACCTGCCCCCATGTTTCGCCCAAGTGAGAGAAGGAATCCGGAGTTCTGACCTCCGTCGGCGATCGAGAATCAGGGACGCTGTCTCGTTTGCCAGGGTGTCGAAAGTCAGATGTAGCCGGACACATAATAACGCGATTCGGAGACGACCACTAGACTAGAGCTGTTACTTCTTCGTCAAGACCCTGAACGAACGGTTCGTGTTCCTGGAGCGAGCAGCTGCCACTGGGCTACACGAGCTCGTGACAGGGATGAACGGAGACGTTACTGGCGCCCGCTTGAGCAGCGCTATGGGCAACAGGGTAACGAGTGATAACACCCAGTGACCTCACTGCCACTCCCTTTGCTCCTGTACACTGGAGCCCCTGGGCCTCTTGCGTATCCCTCCACACAGAATGTTTACAAGCAAACTTAGTGTTGAAACTTGCGAACTGGAATTTATGGGGGTCAGAACTTTTTTTGCGTGTGTGGTCACACCCGGAGATTCCCAGGGGTGGTTCCTCCCGGCTCATGCACTCAGGAATTACTCCTGGCGGTGCTCAGGGGACCCTATGGGATGCTGGGAATCGAACCCAGGTCGGCCGCATGCAAGGCAAACACCCTATCCGCTGTGCTATTACTCCAGCCCCAGAACTGACTTTCGAGGGACAGACGTGGCTCAGGACACTGCACCTGCCGTGGAATCTGTGACATCTCTTGATTTCATTCCCAACTTGGCAGATTTTACAGTATGTTTCTTTTTAATATTTTTTTTTTGTTTTTTGGGTCACACCCGGTGATGCACGGGGGTTACTCCTGGCTCTGCACTCAGGAATTACTCCTGGCGGTGCTGGGGGACCCTGTGGGATCCAACCCGGGTTGGCTGTGTGCAAGGCAAACGCCCTCCCCGCTGTGCTATCGCTCCAGCCCCCAGGATGTTCCTAAGTGCTGTTAAATGTTGTAGAGCCGAAGAGATACGATAGGGATCAAGGTACTTCTTTGCCTGCAGCTGCCCTTGTTCAATCCCTGGCATGTCGCCCCAATCACCACCAGGAACCACCTCTGGATGTGACCCTCCCCAAATCAATCAAGCCCAGGTATTTAAAAAAAATAATAATAAAATTATGAAAAGTTCAAGTATCAGCAGCAGGCAAACGTTCGAGGCCTCCCTGGCAGACACCGTGCTTAAGGGGGCTTCAGAAGCGGGTCGGACCTGACTGAGCACAACAGCGGGTGGCGGTGGGGTGGGCAGTGCAGCAAAGCAGGGGGCTCAGCTCACTTCCAGGCGGGGACTCGGGCTGTGCCTCTGGCCACGGGGATCGGGGGGGGGGGCTCCATCCAGGCAGCCGACTGGCGGGGAGCCTCTGCCGGGGGCAAGCAGGACTCAAGGGGTGGGACAGGCCAGCAGCCACGGAACCCAGGATTTATTGTGAGACACATGGAAAGGGAGAGGTGCGGTCGGGACGGAGGGACGGGGGCAGGGCAGGGCAGGGCAGGACGTGTGCTGTAGGGGGCAGGGGGACAGCACAGGATCTGGAGCCGCCTGGGTCGGGGGCTCGGGGAGAGCTGCAGGGCCGGGGGGAGAGGCAGTCCGGGGCCGCGGGGCTCAGCGGAACTGCAGCGGGCTGATGCGCAGGCCGATGACGTCCTTGCCGATCTCGGTGACGGTGGTGACCCTGCACACCTGGCCCTTGAACTCGGGGGAGTAGCAGGCGCCGCTCAGCGGGCACTTCTCCACGGGCTTGCCCCGGTAGATGGGCCGGTAGGACGCGGCGCAGATGTCGAACGGGTTGTGCATGTCGTAGTTCAGCTGGCAGGCGTCCGTGGGGCTCTTCTCGCACGCCGACAGGATCTTCCGGGTCTGGGGCGTGGGGGGAGGGAGTGGAGCGGCGGCAGCTGCGGGAGTCCGCCCCAGGGACGGGGGTCGGGGCCCCACGGGAGCTGGCCGGGGCAGAGGCGTGCGCGTGCATGCGTGTCTGTGTGTGCGCGCGTGTGTGTGCATGTCTGTGTTTGTGTGTGTCCAGTGTGTCTCGGTGTGTCTGTGTGTGTGTCCTGTGTGTCTGTGTATCTGTGTCTGTGTATATCTGTGTGTGTGTGTCTGTGTATCTGTGTGTTTCTGTGTGTCTGTGTGTCTATGTGTGTGTATATATCTGTGTGTCTGTGTGTCTTATGTGTCTCTGTGTAACTGTGTATATTTGTGTGTTTGTGTGTGTCTGTGTATCTGTGTGTCCGTGTGTATCTGTGTGCCTGTGTATCTGTGTGTCTATGTGTGTGTTGGGTGTGTGTATTTGTGTCTGTATGTGAGTATGTGTGTCTGTGTGTATAGCTGTGTGTCTGTGTGTCTGTGTATCTGTATCTGTATCTGTGTGTCTCTGTATGTGTCTGTGTATCTGTGTCTGTGTGTCTCTGTGTGTGTGTCTGTGTATGTTTGTGTGTGTCTGTGAGTATCTGTCTGCCTACGTGTATATCTGTGTGTCAGTGTATGTATCTGTGTCTGTGTGTATCTGTGTGTCTGTGTGTATGTTTGTGTCTGTGTATATGTGAGTTTATGTGAGTCTGCGTGTGTATCTGCACCTGTGGGAATTGAGTGTGCCGGAGTGTCTGTGTGTGTCTGTGTGTGGGTGTCCCCCCAGGCCCCCTACCTGCTGAGCCACCTCGGGCTTCGGCCCGAGCTCCAGCAGGCGCCGTGCGAAGGTGGCGGCCGTCTTGAAGTTCTTGAGCTTGAAGAAGAGGTTGAGGGCCGTGCGCAGCACCAGCACCATGTGCACGGGCTGCAGGTTGGAGTGCGTGAAGTAGGCGGCCATCTGCGGACGGAGGAGGACGGGGCACTGACCGCACTGCAGGCGGGGGCGGGGGGGGGGTCCAGGGTGGGGCGCGCCTCGGCGGCGGCGGCGGCGGCCGCGGCCACTCACCTCGCAGATGCGCTTCTGCTGCTCGGGCGAGTCCCTGGGCAGCTTCTTGCGCTCGATCTCCATGGACAGGCCCACGATGTACTCGCGGCAGATGGCGATGAGCTGCTGCGCCTGCAGAGGGCCGAGGGCGGAGGTGAGAGGCGGGCGGCAGCGGGCGGGCGGCGCGGGCGCGGGCCCCCACCCACCTCGGCGATCTCCTGCTTGTTGTCCACCACCAGCAGCGGGACGCTGAGCAGGATGGAGCGGAACTTCTCCACGGCCTCCTCGAACTTGCCCACCGTGGTGAACTGGTAGCAGAGCTGCAGGCGCTGGATGAGGTCGTTCAGCTTCAGGCCCACGGCGGGCACGCCGCCCTTCAGCCCCGCGTCCTTCCTGGAAGGGCAGGGCCGGCCGGCGGCACGGTCAGGCGCAGCCTGGCCCCTGGTGCCCGCCCCCTGCTGCCCGGCGGCGGCGGCGGCTCACCAGTTGCGCTGGGGGTAGCTGTACATGGACGGCAGGCACGGCAGGGCCTGGTAGGTGGTGCGGCCACGGGCGAAGGTCTGCAGGAACAGCTGCTTGTAGGGCCCGAACTGGGTCACGCCCACCTGGTCGTGGAGGAGCTGGAAGACAGGAAGGAACCGGGTGTCGGCCCCGGCAAGGGCCCTCCACCTCCTCCGCACTGAGCAAAGGGGACCAGGCCCACGAGCACCGGCACGGAGCAGCACCACGGCCACGCACAGGGCCAGGTGGGGCCGTGGGAGGGCAGCTGGGGACCCTGAAGGTGCAGCTCGGAGAGAGGTGGGTGTCCCCAGGTGGGCAGGTCTCACCCGGTCCCGGCACCCGCAAGGAGGACTCACCCGCATGGCCGTCTCAAAGGAGCCCGCCAGGATGTGGTCGACCGGAAGCTGAGAGTTATTGCACCAAATCTGCCGGGAAAGCATGCCCGGGACAATGACCTTCTGCTTCTCCCCCGTCCTGCTCCCACGGAAGCCGCCGCGCTCCCCGCACGCCGTCACTCGGCCAAGACCCAGCCCGGGCGCGCCCTGCGTACCTGTGTGGGGCTGGTCCCCTTGGTGGGGGGCACGAAGAACCCGTCCTCAGCCCCGCCCGCTGCTCCGGGGGGCAGGTCCTGGGGGGGAAGGAGAGGGCAGGCCCAGTGAGGCTGGGCAGGGCTCCCCACGGGGGGCAGACCTTCGGGTGACAGCCGGACAGGTCCGTGGCCCGCCCCTTCTGCGGGGACTCAGGGCAGGGCCCACGAGGGCTGGATCTGGGGGCCGGGGGTCGCCCCGCACCACACACAGGGAGAAGTGAACCAACCAGCTCGGGCGGGAGCTCCAGGTCCTCCTCCACGTCCCAGCCGCCACCTTCCTCCTGTCCCTTGCCCAGAGCGTCGTCCCCGAAGCCCTCGCCAGCCTCCACAAAACCATCTGCAAGGGAAAGGTTCAGGGGAACAGGGCGCCAAGGGGCTGCTGGCACACAGCACAACCCAGGGCTCAGAGTCTGGGCCCCGGAGCGGAGCACCAGCCCTGGAGTCCAGCGCTGGCTCGAGCGCTGGCGTGAACTGTGTGTGGTGCCCGCGGCCTCACCTTCGTCCAGCTGCAGCTCGGCGTCCTCTCCCCAGCCCTCGGTGCCCACGGTGTCAATGTCGATGTCGGCGGCCAGCGCCCCACCCTTACCTGCGGGGAGGAGCCCGAGGGTGGGTCTGAGGCCACCACAGCGCCCCCGGGGATGCGGGTGGACAGGCCTGCCCTGGGGTGGCCGTGCGAAGCTGGGTCCTGCCCCAGCGTGGGCTGCAGCCCCGGGCACCCGCCCAGAGCCGGTGCTCACCCTTGCTGGCAATGGAGCTCTCGAAGAGCCCCTTGGACACGGTCAGCAGGGGCCAGTTGGTGTCCAGCGGCATGATGGGTGCCGGTGGCTGCAGCAGCCGGGCCTCGGGGTCAATATCCGGGACCTGCCAGGGAGGGGCCCGGTCAGACGTGCAGCTCAGGGCCCCCAGGGTGCACGGGCCTGGGCTCGGCACTCACCGTCTCCTTCTCGGGGTCGAAAGTCTCCTTCAGGCCCTCGGCCTCCTCGTCCAGGCCATGGGTGGCAGCAGTGAGATAGGCCAAGGACTCTGCAGGGGGCGGGGTTGGGGGGGCTCAGGTCTCATGGTGCTGGAGGCTTCCAGGACGCGGCCCCGCAGCCCCCCCCAACACCCCGCCCGGGGAAAAGCTCACTCTGCCCGCAGTTCCGGAGGATGCGCACGCGCTCCGACACGTCGCCCAGGTACAGGGCGTTCTGGTAGTGGCCGCTCATGTCCTTGCGGATCTCAGCTGCCCGGACAGGAGACCTGGGTCAGTGCCAGTGCCCCGCCACCGCCCCCACGCCCGGTCCCTCCCCGGCCCCAGGTCCCCTGCCATCAGGCCTCACCGATCTTCATCATCTTGCGCAGCTTCTCCAGGTTGCCGGTGATGAGGTAGAGGAAGGAGAGCTTGTCGAAGTTCTTGGTGCGCTGGTAGCACATCTCCACGATCTGGTGGTTGCCCTGCAGCAGTGCCACCTCGCCCAGCTTCTCCCAGCAGCTCTTGTCGTCCAGGGCTTTGGCCGCTTCCAGGGCGATCTGCAAGCCGGGCCGCCGCGCAGTGAGAGGCCGGGCCAGGACACCAGGCTCTGGAGGGGGCACCTGCGACTCCCCTCCCCCAAACCACGTGCCCACCCCCACACCCGCCACCCTCACCTCGATGTTCCCGCACTCCAGGGCCAGGCTGAAGCGCGTCTTCTCGTCCTTGACAAAGTGCAGCGCCACCTCGGGGTAGCCCTTCTTCTGCAGGTACGCGATGATGGACTGGCCCACCAGCTTGGCGTTCCGGACCATGTGCAGCACCTGCGTGGGCGGGGCCGGGTCAGCCCCGCCCCCAGCTGGCCCCACCCCGCCCTGTCCCCATTGGCCCCGCCCTGGGTGGCCCCGCCCCCAGGTAACCACGCCCACCAGCAGCACGGCCTGGCTGGTCCCGCCCCTGCCATGGCCTGTCCCCATTGGCCCCGCCCTGGGTGGCCCCGCCCCCAGGTAACCACGCCCACCAGCAGCTCGGCCTGGCTGGTCCCGCCCCTGCCATGGCCTGTCCCCATTGGTCCCGCCCTGGGTGGCCCCGCCCCCAGGCAACCACGCCCACCAGCAGCTCGGCCTGGCTGGTCCCGCCCCAGGTGACCACGCCCACCAGCGGCTCGACCTGGCTGGCCCCGCCCCTGCCATGGCCTGTCCCATTGGTCCCGCCCTGGGTGGCCCCGCCCCCAGGCAACCACGCCCACCAGCAGCTCGGCCTGGCTGGTCCCGCCCCAGGTGACCACGCCCACCAGTGGCTCAACCTGGTTGGTCCTACCCTGGTGGCCCCACCCCGTGCCACTTTGGCATGTCCTGATTGGTCCTGCCCTGCTGGCTCCGCCCTAGATAGCCACGCCCACCAGTAGCTTATCTTGGACAGGGCACCCTGATGACCCCGCCCCCTGTGGCCACACCCAGTCATCTAGCCTTCATTGGCCACACCCTGTGGCCCTGCCCACTCACGACCCCACCCCCAGCAGGTCCTCCCCAGTAGCTCTCTTGGATGTCCCACCCTGGTGACCCCCGCCCCCAGTGACCACACCCGCCTGTGACTCATGGATTGGTCCTGTCCTGATGGCACCGCCCCCTACTGACTCCGCCCAGACGGCTCCGCCCCCCAGATGAGCACGCCCATCAGGAGTTCATGGCGAATGGTCCCACCCTGGTCGCCTTGCCCGCGGCCACGCCCACCTCATCATACTTCCGGTTGATCAAAGCCAACTTGAACTTGAACTCTGTGGGGTCGATGGTGAGCACCCGCGGGCGGCACTCCCGGTCCAGGCAGTAGACGTTGTTGCCCTTCACCCGCGTGACATAGATGGGCAGGTCCAGGGTCCGGATGATCCCGTAATCCCTGGGGGGAGCGAGGGGCACACCGCTCAGGTCCAGCCGCCGAGTGTCCCTCCGAGCAGCTGGACGTCGGCCCTAGCTTGTTCCCACAGCGCTGGGACACACAGGCAGAGCCAGAACCGTCCCTCTGGGAGTGCAGGGGCAGGCCAAGAGGCCTGTCCGGGTTCTGCTGGACATGGAGTGCCCACTCCTGGCAGCAACTGCAAACTTAAGCACCAGGTCGAAGTCAAGAAGAGGTAAAAAGGGTGGCGACGCCCAGTGGATGATGGAAAGCAAAAACATAAGGTCCGACAGAGGGAAGGGCCCAGCAAGGGGGCAGCCGAGGGCATCAGACCGAGGAGAAACCCAGAGAGCGAGTGAGCAGGAGGTGCAGAGAGCAGGAGAAAGACCATCTCTCAGGACCCAGCTGAGGACTCGGCTGCTGTTAGGAAATAATGAAGCCAGTAACAGGAGTCAAGGAGCAGAGGAGGCGAGCAGACCAGCAGCAGAAAGAGGTCAGGTGCGAGAGGAAACGGAGAAGGAGCCAGGAAAGTCTGGCACGAGGACAGAACAGCCTTCCTTAAGGAGTCGCGTCCTGAGCAGTGAGTGGCGCGGACTCCGGACTGACCAAGCAGCAGCAGTCCTGCGGTCACCGTGCAGAGCACAGCGCACCCGAGGGAGCAGCCCCAGGAGGGCCCAGGCCTGGGGGCTCCACCAGCCACACAGACCCAGCACCCACAGAAGATGAGCTGTGACCGCCTGCGATCCCCAGACGCGAACCCTGCTTCACTGATTCCATGGGCCTGGTGAACGGCAGCAGTCAGCCACGGGATTCTAAGACCCTCGTGGCTGTGTGTGTGAGCACTGCACGTGTGTTATCTGAGATCCACATGGCTGGGTGTGATTGCACTGCAGGTGTATTGAGACCCACATGGCTGTGTGTGTGAGCTATGCACGTGTGTTATCTGAGACCCATGCGGCTGTGTGTGTGTGAGCACTGCACGTGTGTTATTTAAGACCCATGTAGCTGGGTGTCTGTGTGCACTGCACGTGTGTTATCTGAGACCCACATGGCTGGGTGTGTGTGATTACACTGCACGTTATCTGAGACCCACATGGCTGTGTGTGAGCTATGCACATGTGTTATCTGAGACCCATGCGGCTGTGTGTGTGTGTGTGAGCACTGCACATGTGTTATTTAAGACCCATGTAGCTGGGTATCTGTGTGCACTGCACGTGTGTTATCTGAGACCCACATGGCTGGGTGTGTGTGATTACACTGCACATGTTATCTGAGACCCACATGGCTGTGTGTGTGTGAGCTATGCACATGTGCTATCTGAGACACATGTAGCTGGGTGTCTGTGTGCACCGCACGTGTTATGAGACCCACGTGGCTGTGTGTGTGATTGTGAGCACTGCACGTGTGTTATTTAAGACCCATGTAGCTGGGTGTCTGTGTGCATTGCACGTGTGTTATCTGAGACCCACATGGCTGGGTGTCCGGGTGCACTGCACGTGTGCACATGAGTGTTGTCGAAGACCCCCAAGAGGCTGACCGTGCAGAGAAGCGCAAGAGTCGTGGCTAGGAGGCGGGCGAGGGCTCAGACGTTCGGTTAGCAGGGCCCAGCCAGGACGCTCTGCTGGCGGATGGCCCCGGGGAGGACAGGAGGAGCAGGACCGGGACAGCCTGGCGCCACAGCACCCCCAGGCAGCTCAGAGTCGTCCGGAAGCGAGTTCAGAGTGCGAGCACGGGATGGCTGTGCCACCTTCTCCCTCCGACGGACTCACCCCGTGGTGACGGCATACTTGATGTGGTTGCTGGTGGTATAGATAAAGACCCCGCTCTCGTCCCAGGCCCCACTCTTGACGCGGATGTTCTCGTGAATGTTACACAGAGCCTCCAGCTTGCGGTTACAGATCACAATGGCTGTAAGAGGCAGAGGGTGTGAGTGCTCTGCTGGCCCGGTGAGCGGGCCGGGGGTGGGGAGGGCGGCCTGGCTGCGCGCGGGGGCCGGGGGGACACTCACCATGCTTGGCCAGGAGGGCCACGTGCGACATGTCCGCCGACCAGATCACATACTTCACCTTGGAGATCTTCACCGACGCCAGGGTCCTGCGAGGGAGGGGCAGGGGCTGACCAGCACGCCGGGCTCGACCACCACCACCACCACCAGCGTCCCTGACGGGGCCTGCTGCCCGTCCAGCAGAGGGCGCCACCTGCCCGCCCCGGGTTGCCCGGGCCCTCACCGCTTCTGCTGCACGTCGAAGAGGGTGACGGACTCGGCGTCACGGAGCAGCAGGCTGCCCGTGCCCGCGTAGAAGATCTCATCGCAGTTGGGCACCTGCACCTTCTTGGTGATCTCGTTCTTCAGGTTCTTGATCAGGAGCTGCAGGAGACGTGGCAGCAGTGAATGCTGGGGGGAGGGGGGGGGCGGGGGCCCGGCCGACACCTGGTGCTGGTCGGGAGGGGTCTGGTCCAGACCCCGCGTCCCGCTGCGCCAACACGCGCAGGGCAGAGGCCGGGCAGACAGCGAGGTGCAGGGGAGGGCGGTTACATCCAGGCATTGACCGGGGCTGCCGGATGGCCAGAGTCACAGCCCCGGGAGCGACCCTGAAGCCCCTCACAACCTCCTGGGGGCCCCCAGGCCCCGGCTCACCGAGTGCATGCGGTCCAGGACGGCGAAGCGGTTGCGGGCGACCCACACGGCTGTCAGGCCCGAGGAGCGCTTCCCTTCGGGGGCTGGGGGGAGATGGGGGTGTGGGCGGGCGCCCCGGGATCCTCACAGCCCCGCCCGAGCCCCTGCCCATGGGGAGTGAGGAGAGAGGTGAGGGGAGAGAAGGCAGAGGAGCGGGCAGGGGAGGGGAGGGGAGGGAGGGGTGGGCTGTCCCGCCCCGGCCGGCCTCAGCTGCTTGAGATCCCCCTGCAGAGGGGCCTCCCCAGGGGCAGAGCAGGGGCTGCAGATGCTGCCCAGTCGGGCTCGGCTGGCAGCTGGGAACTGGGGGGGGACGGGGCATGCTGGAGGCCCTGCCCGGGGTCAGAGCTGACACCCACCTCCCAGGAGCTCCGAGCTCCTACCAGCCCCGGGGAAACACTGAGTCCCTTTGCTGGTGTCCCCCAATAGTGGACAGTTGGCTGGGCTGAGTCACAGGACACCTGGGGCGACAGCTCCCTCGACCTCACTGGGACCACCCCGGAGCCCGGCGGCAGAGAGGACGCCCCCCCACCCCCACCCCCATCCCCACCCCGCGCATCCGAGCCCGAGCGTGAGCACGGCACGTCTTCCTGGCGAGCAGGCGGGGGTCTCAGCTGGCCCGGGGTCCCCGGTGGGGTGTGGGCTGTCAGCTTGGCGCATCGCTCTGACACGCGAAAGGCAGCCAACGGGATCTGGCCAGGACGGAGGCATAAATCGCCGGTCCCAGGACAGCCCCCAGGCCCGCCGCCCGGCCCTCCATCAGCGGGAGAGCGGCTGGCGGCCCTATCGGCGGCCAGCGCCGGCGGGGGGCGAGGGCTCTGGTACCGGGTGATGAAATATGTATGTGGAGCTGGAGCCTCATCCGTGTTTCACAGCGGCCGCCTGGGGGCCTGCTGTCAGCCCGCACTTGGAGCGGGGGCGGCCTCAGGTGGCCGCCAGTGGGGGGCGGGGCCGGGGGCCAGTCACCTACCATCAGGGTTCTGCGAGTCAGCGTCCCTGGGGATGGTGTACAGGTCGTAGGTGCTGTTCTCCAAGTTGCTGGCTCTCTGCAGGGCAGGACAGGGGAGGCTCAGGGGTCACCCACGCAGTGGACACCAGCCCCAGCTGGACAGGGGGTCGCCCAGCATCTCACGGAGAAACGCAAAGCGCCCTCGTCTGAGCGGCGGCAGGCTCTGACCGAGAACCGGGCACTGGCGTCTGCTTTTCTCTCGAGCCTCCAGCATGGACAGGCCAGCCCCCCCACTCCCCAGGACGGGGTCACTCACCGTGCACAGCAGCACGGCGTTCTCCGCAGGGTTGTAGGACATGTTGAACACGGGGAACTTGGACCCACTGCGGGGAGAGAGGCCAGGTGTCAGGACACAGCGGCCCATGGACCCCATGGACCCCAGGGCCAGGCTCCTGCTCAGGGCCCCGGGGACACGGGGCCATTTCTGCCCTCACGCTCACGGGGAGGCCTGGGCTGCCCCCAAACGTTCCTAGTGCAGCAGGCGGCCCGTCCAGGACAGAGCCCCCTGCTTACCCCCACCCCACGGCCTGCAGAGGGGCCACAGGTCAGTTTCTGGGGTACATTCCCCCCCCCCCGCTGGAGAGCAGAAAGTCGCACAAATGCTCAAGGGAGGCAGAGCGCGTCCTCGGCCACTTTGCACAATAGGGCTAAGGCCTCCTGGCCACGACGCCCGCAGTCTAGTGCAGCCCCATGAGCGCCCGCCTCGCCCCCTTGAGAGCCCCATCCTCCCTTCGCCCCGCCCCTCGGGAGCCCCGCCCCCAGTCGCCCCGCCCCCTCGGGAGCCCCGCCCTCCCATTCGCCTCGCCTTCCTTTCACCCCGCCCCCTCGGGAGCCCCGCCCTCCACTCGCCCCGCCCCCTCGGGAGCCCTGCCCTCCACTTGCCCCGCCCCCTCGGGAGCCCCGCCCTCCCTTTGCCCCGCCCCCTCGGGAGCCCCGCCCTCCACTTGCCCCGCCCCCTCGGGAGCCCCGCCCTCCACTTGCCCCGCCCCCTCGGGAGCCCTGCCCTCCACTCGCCCCGCCCCCTCGGGAGCCCCGCCCTCCCGTTCGCCCCGCCCCCTCAGGAGCCCCGCCCTCCCAATCGCCCAGCCCCTCGAGAGCCCCGCCCTCCCTTCGCCCCGCCCCCTCGGGAGCCCCGCCCCCACCTGCGCAGCTGCATGACGGCCACGTCCTTGGAGCTGCTGAAGTCCAGCTGCCGCAGGAAGCGGTCCTTGACGTAGTGCAGCACGTTGCCGTGCACGGCGTAGGCCGGGCGCTCCCGCTCCAGCTTGAACACGATCATGCCGCCGTCGTGGCCTGGGGGGCGGAGGGGCCGCGAGCTGAGCCGACTTGGGGGGCGCCGGGCACGGGGAGCCGCCTCCCCCCCCCCTCCCCGGAGAGGAGCAGGAGCAGGGGGCGGGGCCTGCGCACCTGCCGCGAAGAGGTTGAGGTTGGGGTGCGCGGCCAGAACCCAGAAGCGGTCGTGGTCCCTGCGGAAGGTCTGGACCCCCGTCCTGGGAGGGGAGAGACGGCCCCGGTATCGGCAAGGGAGGGACTCCCGGCTGCCCTGCCCCTCACCGGGGCTCCCACCAACACGGGTCGGGGGGGCAGGGAGCACCGCGGGAGCCCCTCTGGCAGGAGGTCAGGGCCTCAAGTCTGCACGCTGGCCCCGGGGGAGGGCGGAGGCCTGGGCAGTGGGGCCTGCAGACAGTGGCCGTGGGCCCCGGGGCCCCTACCTCTTGGACATGTCCCAGACCCGGATGCTCTTGTCCTCCGAGTTGCTGAGGATGAGCTCCTGGCGCGGGTGGAAGACGGCACAGGACACGTTGTTGTAGTGGCCCCGGCAGGTGTCCACCTCCCACGCTTTGGACTCTGCAGGACAAAAGCCCAGCAGCTCAGGGGTGGGGGGCCACCGGGCCTCCCCTGGGCAAGAGGGTCTTCATGCCGCTCTCCAGTCGGACCCCCCAGCTGGGCTCCTGCTCAGGCACTGTGTCTGGGCTCCTGGACCAGCGTCCACTGAGAACACACACACACACACACACACACACACACACACACAGCGTCCACCGAGCGCGCGCGCACACGCACACACGGGGCCAGAGCGCTCGGCCACCAGCACTCACCGTTCATGCGCCAGATCTTCACCTGGCGGTCGTCGGCCCCAGACACGATCAGAGGCATGGTGGGGTGAAAGGCGGCCCAGTTCACACCCCGGTCGTGGCCCTGCAGCGGGGAGCAGAAGCCACCAGGGGCAGCTGGGACCCGGGCCGAGCCACTGGCACCGGCTCCGATCCGGCGCCTTCCCCCCCAGCCCCCCCCCAGGCCTGCCGCCCCCGCACGGGACCTCCAGCACGTGCTTGACCACGGCGTCGGTGGTGCCGAACAGATCCACGCCGGTGATGCCCCGGACATCGGACTCCACTGCCCCCGGGGAAAGGTTCTTCTTCCTCAGGCCTGCGGGCGGGCAGCGAAGGCGAGAACGGGGTCACAGCGGGGCGCGCGCTGGGGGCTCTTCCTCCCCGGGCCCACGGCTGGCGGGCACTTCCTGCCCCGGCCTCTCTGCTCTCCGGCGTCCCAGGACGTGGCTCGGGGGAACCTCCATGTCCACGCTCGGCCCAGAGGGGGAGGCACTAAGGGTCCAGAGCCCAGCAGGGAGCTCGGGCCGACTCCTGCTGGCAGTGCTCAGGGGTCTCCAGCGGGTCCCAGGATCCAACCCAGGTCGGCAGTGTGCGAGGCAGACGCCCTCCCTCCTGTCCTGTGGCTGACGGGCCCAAGCACAGGCTCCATCCCCAGCACCCCGCACGGGGTCCTCTGGGCACCACCCGGAGTGACCTCGGCCGGGCATTGACTGCCTCTGAGCACCAGCACGTATGGCCGAACACCCACATGTGCCACCTTTGTCCGGGCACTCGGGCCGCACAGGGAAACCCCAGGAAGGAGATGCTCCCACCTGGTCCCTCGGGGGCCCCCCACCCTCCCTAAGCAGGGAGCGGTGAGTCATTCATCCTGGGCCCCGCAGAGCTGAGCCTGGGAACGGACGGGAGGAGGGGCCTGGCGCAGGATCTGCCCAGGGCGAAGGCCGGGCCACGCCTGCCCACAGAGAGGAGGGCAGGAGGGCAGCGAGCGAGGCCACACGCCGCCCCACTGGGCAGTACAGGAGCCTGGGGACAGCGGCGCAGGTTGGACACCCTCTGTCCGTGCAACCCAGAGCAGGGCCCGAGGGAAGGCATGACCCGGAGTCTGGGCTTCAGAAGAGGGAACGAGGTCCCCACTACTGACAGCTTACACAGCCCTCGCCCCAGGGCAAGGCTCGTGCTGGCTCCCGGGGGCACCCAGGTCCCGCAGCCCCTCAGGGCCCGTGAGAGCAGCTGACCCGAACCCCCCTGGACGTGCTCACCGGAAATGTCCCAGACGCGCACGGTCTGGTCCAGGCTGGCCGACACCACCAGGTCCTCCGAGGGGTGGAACTGCGCACACATCACGTAGTGGTTGTGGCCGGTCAGCACGCTGAGGGGGGTGGGGAGGGGGCGCCCATCAGGGGACAGCGGTCGAGTCCAGAGCACGGGGCCCCACGGCCACCGTGGGCAAAGTCGCCCCGCCCGCCAGGCCTCTCGCACGACTGCCCTTGGTCCCGTTCCACAATGCCAGGGACCCCCAGGGAGGAGTCACCATCCTGACCAGGGCTGGGACCTACCTGGAGAGACCCGGGCCACAAGGACTCAGGAAGGACCGAGGGAGGAAGGAAGGAGAAAAAGGAAGGAGGGATGGAGAGGAGGGAAGGGATGAAGGACAAAAGGAGGGAGGAGGGAGGAAAGAGGGAGGCAGGAGGTGGCGAGGGCAGCCCACGGACGCCTCACCAGACGCAGGTTCTAGACTGCCAGTTCCACACCCGGATGGTCTGGTCGTCGGAGGCGCTCAGGATCCAGGGGTACTCCTGGGAGACGCGGAGGGTCAGTCGGGCTGGGCTCAGCCTTCGGGACAGTCCAGGTCCCACAGCGACCCCCAGGCACCCTGGGGACCCCTGCAGGCCCTTCTCCCGAACCTCAGAGAGCCGAGGGATGCCCCTTCCGCCCTCTCCAAGCTTTTGCTGCCGGGAAGGGCCCCGCAGACCCCAGCGCCATCCGGGCAGGACCCGCCCGCCAGGGGGCCTGGACTCACGTGGTGGAAGAAGGTGGTGCGGATGTAGTCCAGGTGCCCGAGCAGCGTGAAGAGGCAGCGTCGGAGTTTGTAGTTCCACACCTGGGTGGGGAGGGGTGTGAGGGCCACAGGCTCGGGCTCCCACACAAGGGACGGAGAGAAAGGGCCATGGAGGAGGAGAACGGGACAATCCAATGGGGAAGGACCAGGAGGAGGCGGCTGGCAGCCACAGGGGAAGGACAAGGCACTGGAAGGTCAGGGGACGAGTGAGGAGACGCCCTGGCCCAGTCACAGCAACCAGGGGTCCGTCCCCGCAGCGCCAGTCACTCAGGGGGGACTGTTGTAAGCAGGAACAGAACCCGCTGTCCGGTCAAACACCCGTTCAGGCCAAGGTGCACCCACGTGCCCGTGAGCCACCCCGCAGGGGCCAGAGCGAGTGTGTGGGAGGCCCAGGCCCGAGGCCCAGCACAGCGCGCCCAGGGCCCGCGCCGAGACCGCCGCTGCGAACCTGAGCCGAGATGGGTCTGCGAGCGCCAGCCCGGACGCAGCCAGAGCCCCAGGGCCCCCGAGAGCGCAGCTGCTCCCCCCTGGAACATCCAACTCCAGCCCGGCGTAATCGCCTCTGATTTCTGGCCGCTCGGGTGATTCTCGCTTGAAATTTTAATTTCCTCTGCTAGGCGAGGAAGAGCCATGCCCCCCCCCCTCCCTGGGCCCCTGTCAAGCCCGCAGCCCCCAGCGCAGGGCGGGGCTGGCAGCTGCGACACTCCCATGCCCACCTGGCTTCTCCACCCCCGGCTCCACCTGTGTCTCGGGTCTTAGTGATGACCCCAGTCCCCTGCGGTGCCCTGTCCGTCCCGGCCACTTGCCAAACCGTGCCCGCTGCTACTCGGGCACCAGGATGAAGCGCCCGTCCCATCCCGCCCGAGGCTCCTGGGGAAAGAACAAGCTCATCCGTCGCTTTTTTTTTTCTTTTTGCTTTTTGGGTCACAACAAAGTCTCCAATGGAGACGTTACTGGGCCTGCTCGAGCAAATCGATGAACAACGGGAGGACAGTGGCAGTGACAGGGTCACACCCAGCGATGCACAGGGATTCCTCCTGGCTCTGCACTCAGGAATTACTCCTGGTGGTGCTCAAGGGACCCTATGGGATGCCGGGGATCGAACCCGGGTCGGCCGCGTGCAAAACAAACGCCCTCCCTGCTGTGCTATCACTCCGGCCCCTGGTCGCCCGTTTTTTTTTTTTTCTTTTTCTTCTTTTTTCTTTTTGGGTCCCACCCAGCCGATGCTCAGGGGTTCCTTCTGGCTCTGCACTCAGGAATGACTCCTGGCGGTGCTCGGGGGACCATATGGGATGCTGGGAATTGAACCTGGGTTGGCCGCGTGCAAGGCAAACGCCCTCCCTGCTGTGCTATCGCTCCAGCCCCTGGTCGCCCGTTTTTAAACCTGTAAAGGTGTCTGCAGCCAGTGGCACGTCCCGTGTGCCGACACTGTCCTATGTTGGGGGGATTTCCCCGGCCCCCCCAAATTCCCGTGCTCCCAGCACCACCCCCGTCACACACCTTGATCTTGTAATCGTCCCCTCCGGAGACGAAGAGTGGCTGCTGCTTATGGAAGTCGATGCCTCGCACCGGGCCTGGGGGACGAGAGCCCACGTGAGCCCACGTGGTCCTGCCCGCCGGGTCCGTGGACACGGCCGGTTCCCCAGCTCCGCCCCTGCCACACAGGAGCTGAGGCCACTGCACCTCGAGGCACCTGCCACCTGCTCCCCCTTCCCCCCCGGGGGCCACGGGACCCCGTGCTCACCATCGTGCTCGTCAAACTTGTCGATGAGGGTGCACATCCGGTAGTCCCACAGCTGAATGACCCCATTGTGCAGACTGGTGAGGATCCAAGGGCGTTTGGGGTGAAAGCTGAGCCCTGGAGAGGCCGAGGAATGGCCCGGTCAGTGCGAGGGTCCGTCCTGCCCGGCGTGCGTGTGGGGCTCCTGGGACTGTGTCCCACTCGTGACAGGGCCCCAGCACCTGCCACTGGGGTCTCCTGGGCATGGGCTCTCTGCTCTGCTGGCCTCTGGGGGCTTTCAGGTTGCACGGAGACCACCCAGGCACTATCTCTGCAGCCGGAGCACCCTACCTGCCCCCCCCGAACTCAGAACCCCCTCAAGAGCATGGCCTCTCTTGTTCAGAAGGGCCTCGAAGGGCAGGCTTTGTGCGTGGGAGCCCCAGGTCTGATCCCCTGGGCTCAACTGGGGGTGTCCCCCTCCCCCTCCGGCCCAAACACCTCAAAAGCCAAAGCAGGGCATCGTGACCTCCGGGGGGGGGGGGGGGTGGGTTTTGAGCTGTGCTTGCAAATTGACTTCTCTGTTAGAGAGCCCAGAGCTGGCATCTTAGAATTTTAGAGACGCCGCTGAGTTGCTGAGTTAGAGGCCAGGAGTTGGAGACGCAGGGTAGAGACCCCCAACCCCACCCCCCAAGAGGCCTTGCAAGAGATTGAGCTACAGACTAGGAGTTGGAGACACAGAGTAGAGACCCCCCCCCCCCAAGAGGCCTTGCAGGAGCCTGAGCTGGAGGCCAGAAGTTAGAGAGGCAGAGTAGAGACCCCCCACCCCCAAGAGGCCTTGCAAGATTTAGAGACACAAAATAGAGCCCCCTCCCCCAGGCCTTGCAGGAGGCTGAGCTAGAGGCCAGGAGTTAGAGACGCAGGGTAGAGACCCCGTCTGCCCCCTGGGCGGGAGGCCTGCAAGGCTGACCACTCAAGGCCCAGCTTGCTCCCTGCGCGGAGGGAGGACCCCGGCATCCCCGCCCCACCAGGGGGATCTCTCCCAAGCCCCTCCGAGCCTCCGGATTGTGCAGAAAAGCCTGGGGTCCCCTCCCCACGGAGCTCGGCTGCTCCCCGCTCTTGGGGCCTCGGCGCCCTGGGGTGACCCCGCTGGCCACCGAGACGGCTGGCCTGGCGGACACCCCCCCCCAGGGCCAGCTCCCAGCGCCGCCGAGGCCCAGGGGCCGAGGACAGGGGGCAAATGGGGAACCCAAGGCTCTGCCAGGGGGTGGGGGGGGAGCCAGGGGGCGTGGCGGGCACCGGGCCGGGGGTCCCGGGGAGACGCCAAGGCGGGGAGAGCGGGGCTGCAGGGACGCTCCGGGGCTGCAGGGGTCCCCGCGGGCGGAGGGGTCAGCGGGGGTGCAGGGGTCACCGCAGGGGCAGGGGTCACCGGGGCGCAGGGAGGCCTCGGCGCAACCCAGGAAGCGGCGCGGGCCCCGCCCCCGCCCTCCCGCGCCGCCGCCGCCGCCCCCCGGCCCGCCGGACCTTTCACCCGCGCGCTCTTGGTCTCGAACTTGGTGAGCATCGCGCCGCTCCGCGTCCCCCGGCCGCCCGGCCACCGCCCGCCGCTCCGCGCTGGCCTCCACGTCAGCGGCCGCCGCGCCGGAAGTGCCCGCGCCGACTTCCGGCGCCAGCGAGGCGGCCGCCGCGGCCCAGAGCGGCGACCTTCCCCCGCCCCCGGCCACCGAGACGGCCGCCGCGGCCCAGAGCGTCCCCGCCCGGCCACCGAGACGGCGCGGCCGGGCGCGCTAGAGCGGCCGCCCTGCGCTTCCGGCGCAGAGCAAGATGGCCGCCGTGGGGGGCGGCTCCGCGGCCGGCCCCGGGGGTCCCCGCCTCCTGCACCTGCTGTGCCTGTGCGCCCTGCTGGCAGGTGAGCCCCCCGCCCGCGCGGCCCCCGCCGGCCCCCGGGACCCCCGGACCCGCCCGCCCGCGAGCCCGGCGCCCCCTTCCTGGTCCCTGCGCCTCCTCGCCGCGCGCAGCGCCCTGGGCCCCTCCCGCCGGGCTGGGGCTGGGGCGGGGGCGGGGGCTGGGGGTCTCGCCTCCAGCCTGCAGCGACCGAGCTGACCGCGCCCCCGGCTCTGTCCACGCCCCCGAGCGTGCTGGGGAGCCGGGCCGCTTCCCCTGCGCCGCCCCCCCATGTCCTTGTGGGACCCCGGATGCAGCAGCTGAGCTGGGGGGGTCCGGGCCGCCGCCCCCTCCCGTGCCCATTCGGGACCCCGGGTGCAGCAGCTGAGCTGGGGGGGGTCTGGGCCGCCGCCCCCTCCCATGTCCTTGTGGGATCCCGGATGCAGCAGCTGAGTTGGGGGGTCCTGGCCGCCGCCCCCTCCCGTGCCCATTCAGGACCCCGGATGCAGCAGCTGAGCTGAGGGGGTCTGGGCCGCCGCCCCCCCCATGCCCATTCGGGACCCCGGTTGCAGCAGCTGAGCTGGGGGGGTCTGGGCCGCCGCCCCCTCCCATGCCCATTCGGGACCCCGGTTGCAGCAGCTGAGCTGGGGGGGTCCGGGCCGCCGCCCCCTCCCATGCCCATTCGGGACCCCGGTTGCAGCAGCTGAGCTGGGGGTTCTGGGCCGCCGCCCCCTCCCATGCCCATTCGGGACCCGGGATGCAGCAGCTGAGCTGGGGGGGTCTGGGCCGCCGCCCCCTCCCATGCCCATTCAGGACCCGGGATGCAGCAGCTGAGCTGGGGGGGTCTGGGCCGCCGCCCCCTCCCATGCCCATTCGGGAGCCTGGTTGCAGCAGCTGAGCTGGGCTGCTGCCTGACCCCCCTACCCCGTGCCCTTGTGGGACCCCGGGGCTGCAGCCGCCCCCTGGACCTTGCTGCACCAGGCATCAGGCCCAGAGCGGGTCTGACGCCTCCTCCCCCCCCCCCCTCCAGGTCTGTGTGGGGGCAACTCCGTGGAGAGGAAGATCTACGTGCCCCTGAACCGGACCGCGCCCTGCGTCCGCCTGCTCAACGCCACCCACCAGATCGGCTGCCAGTGTGAGTGGGGTCAGGGCTGCGCTGGGGTTGGGGGCCCAGGCTGGGTGGGGGTCCCGCTCATCCACTGCCCGCCCAGGGCACCCGCAGATAGTTGAGGTCGGCGTCCCCAAGCTGTCCTGCGGGCGCGGCGTCCTCCGGGGCGGGAGCCCCAGCAGAGACAGGGAGGCCCGGCGCCCCTGGGGCGGGTGGGGGGTGGGCACCCACGTCCGTCTGTCCGGCAGCGTCGCTCAGCGGGGACACGGGCATCATCCACGTGGTGGAGAAGGAGGACGACCTGCAGTGGGTGCTGAGCAGCGGCCCGAACCCCCCCTACATGGTGCTGCTGGAGGGTGCTCTCTTCACCAGGTGAGCCGGCGGGGCCCCGGGACGGCCCGGCCAGCCCCGTCCCGTGTCCCACCTGCCCCCTGGCTCCCTCCCCACCAGGAGCCTGATGGAGAAGCTGAAGGACAGCAGCGGCCGCATCGCGGGCCTGGCTGTGTCCCTGACCCGGCCCCTCCCCGCCGCCGGCTACTCCCCCAGCGTGCAGTGCCCCAACGAGGGCTTCGGTGAGCAGCCCGGCCGGGGGTCCCCACGGCTCCCCTCAGCTGTGTCGGTGTGCGGGTGAGGGGCTGAGTGTGTGTGATTGTGGGGGCGTGGGGGGGTACGTGACTATGTCAGTACGTGACTGTGTGTGTGTGTGTGTGTGTGTGTGTGAATGTGATTTGGTGTGTGAGCGAGCGAGTGTGTTTGTGTTTGTGAGTATATGAGTATATGTGTGTTTGTATGTGTGTGTGGGTGTATTTGGGTACGGGTGTTAGCATGTGTCAGTGTATGTGAGTGTGATGTGGGGCTGAACCCTGAGAGCGTTTGAATGTCTGTGGGGTATGAGTTTGGGTGAGTGTGTGTGTGTGTGTGTGTGTGTGTGTAGGGATGAACATGTGTGGTTTGTGTTTGTGTGAGTGTACGTGAGTTGAGTGTGTGTGTTTGAGTATATGTGAGTGTGTGTGAGCTTGTGTGTGTTTGTGTGAGTATACGTGAGTGTGTGTGTGAGTGTGTGTGTGTGTGAATGTGATTTGGTGTGTGTGAGCGAGCATGTTGAATGTGTGTGTTAGTTTGTGTGAGTTTGTGAGTGTATGAGTATTTGTGAGTGTGTTTGTGTGTGTGTGGGTGTGTGTATTTGGGTGCAGGTGTTAGCATGTGTCCGTGTATGTGAGTGTGATGTGGGGCTGCACCCTGAGAGCATTTGAATGACTGGGGTATGAGTTTGGGTGAGTGTGTGTGTGTGTGTACGGATGAATGTGTGTGGGTTTGTGTTTGTGTGAGTATACGTGAGTGTGTGTGTGAGTATATGTGAGTGTGTGTGAGCTTGTGTGTGTGTTTGTGTGAGTATATGTGATTGTGCTTGTGTGTGTGTGCGTGTGTGTATTTGGGTGCGTGTGTCAGCGCATGTGAGTGTGATGTGGAGATGGAGCCTGAGAGTGAGTGAGCGTGGGGTGTGACTGGGAGTGGGTGTGAGACGCCTTCTGTCTGTCCCGCGTGTCACGTGCTGGCCCCCTGGCTCCCCTCCCTCCCTCCTTCCCACCGGAGCCCCTAGCTTGGCTCCTGCGCTGATGTCCGCATCTGTCTCGCTGTCTTCTCGAAACCTCGCCCTCCCTCCCGGGACCCTCGGGACTGCCCCCTCCCCGCCTCTGAGTGGGGTCCTCTCCTCCCCGTCCCCCAGGTGTCTACTCGGACGTTTACGGGCCCGAGTTTGCTCACTGCCGGGACCTGCCGTGGAACCCCCACGGTGACGGCCTGGCCTATGAGGATTTCAACTTTCCCATCTTCCTCCTGGAGGACGAAAATGAGACGGAGGTCATCAAGCAGGTAGCGGAGTGCTGACCCGGGGCCCTGTGACACCCCCTCCCCCACGATCCCAGTCAGGAGGGGCCCTGTGACCCCGTACGGATCAAGAGGGCCCTGTGCCCCCCCCAGTCCTGGTCAGGAGGGGCCCTGTGACTCCCCCAGTCCTGGTCAGGAAGGCCCTGTGACCCCCTCAATCCTGGTCAGGAGGGGCTCTGACCCCTCCCAGTCCTGGTCAGGAGGGGTGCCTGTGACCCCCCCCAGTCCTGGCCAGGATGGGTTCTGTGACCCCCACCCCAACTCGGTCAGGAAGGACCCTGTGACCCCCAGCAGTTCTGGCCAGGAGGGGCCCTGTGGCCCCCCCAAGTCCTGGTCAGAAGGGGCTGTGCTTCTGTCTTGTTCTCTCGGCCGTGGGTGGGGGTGTGGCCATCACGGGGGCTGCGGCATAGCCCAGGAGTGTGTGGGGCCGAGGGCAGGAGCAGGGAGGGACCAGGGAGGAGGGCAGAGTGCAGGGCCCTGGCAGGGAGGGACTGGGCGGGGCCGGGCCGTACCAGTCACCGGCCTCCCTGGGACATGGGGCTGAGCACCGGCGGGTGTCCCGGGGTGGGGCCGCCTCACGCCTCCCGCCTCCCGCCTCCCGCAGTGCTTCCGCACCCACAACCTCGGCCAGAATGGCTCGGCCCCCACCTTCCCGCTGTGCGCCATGCAGCTGTCGGCACACATGCACGCCGTGCTCAGCACGGCCACCTGCATGCGTCGCAGCGCCCTGCAGACGTCCTTCAGCATCAACCCAGGTGGGGCCCCGGGGTGCTGGGGACGCGGGTGCCCGCCCCCCGCCCCCGCCGACGCCCCCCCTCCCGCTGCTCTGTCCAGAGATCGTCTGCGACCCGCTGTCGGACTTCAACGTGTGGAGCCTGCTGCGGGCCGTCAACATCTCGGGGGGCCTGGCGCCTTCGGACAGGCTGGTGGTGGCCGCCACCCGGGTGAGTGCCCGCCTGCAGGAGGAGCGCTGACCCCCGCGCGCCCCCCGCCCCCCGCTGGACTGGGACGCGGGGAGCGGGGCTGGTGCCGACCCCTGCATCCCCCCGCAGCTGGACAGCCGGTCCTTCTTCTGGAACGTGGCCCCTGGGGCAGAGAGCGCCGTGGCCTCCTTCGTCACCCAGCTGGCCGCGGCAGAAGCGCTGCAGAAAGCCCAGGACGTGTCCACCCTGCCCCGGAACGTCATGTTTGTCTTCTTCCAGGGGGTGAGGCCCCGGCCAGCGGGGGGCGCTCCTGCAGGCACAGACCTCCCCCTGGCGCAGACCCCCTCCCGCCTGCCCCTGTGGTGGGGAGCGTGGATTGGCTCAGGGCGCCCCGCCACCCTGACCCCCCACCCCCACCCCCCCAGGAGACATTCGACTACATCGGCAGCTCGAGGATGGTGTACGACATGGAGACGGGCAGGTTCCCCGTGCGCCTGGACAACATCCACACCTTCGTGGAGCTGGGCCAGGTGGGCAGTGCCCTCTCCTGCGCCGTACCCGCCCCTCCCCCTGCTGGAGGGCCCCTCCCCCAGCCAAAGCTGATGGGTGTGACTTCTCCACGCCCCCAGGTGGCCCTCAGGGACTCTCTGGAGCTCTGGATGCACACAGACCCTGTGTCGCAGAAGAACGATTCCGTGAGGAACCAGGTAAGGAGACCCTCCCCCTTCCTTTCAGCAGTTGACTAGAGCCCCACCCCACCTGAAGCCCCGCCCGTGACCCAGCTTCATTTGCATAGCCCTGCCCACAGGCCGCAGCCCCGCCTATTAGCCACAGCTCCACCCACAGGCTGCAGCCCCGCCCATTATTTATAGCTCCACCCACAGGTCAAAGCCCCGCCCGTTTGTCACAGCTCCGCCCACAGGCCACAGCCCCGCCCATTGTTCACAGCTCCACCCACAGGCCGCAGCCCCACCCACAGGCCGCAGCCCCACCCATTTATAGCTCCACCCACAGGTCACAGCCCCGCCCATTAGCCACAGCTCCACCCACAGACTACAGTCCCGCCCATTAGCTACAGCTCCGCCCACAGGCCACAGCCCCGCCCATCATTTATAGCTCCACCCACAGGCCACAGCCCCGCCTATTCTCAGCTCTATCTACAAATCACAGCTCTGTCTATTAGCCACAGCTCCACCCACAGGCCACAGCCCCGCCCATTATTCACAGCTCCGCCCATAGGCCACAGCCCCGACCCATTGGCTGCAGCCCTGCCCACAAGCCCACCGCCCCACCCACACTCTGGAGCCCCGCCCACAGGCCACAGCCCCGCCTTTCACCCGGCTCCCTGAGGCCGGACTGCTCTGGGAGCCCACATCTGTCCGTGGGTCTTGTCCCTGCCCCCTAGGACCCAGGCTGGACCCGCAGCTTCACTCGGACCCTGACGCAGGAGGGCCAGGGAGGGAGGCAGTGCTCCACGAGCTCAGGACAGCCCTGCCTGCCCCCAGTTGACCAGGCCGTGATTCCCACGACCCAGAGAGCAGCCCAGACCCCCAGGTTTAGGGCTTGGTGGGGGCGTTGGGGGGGGACACTCAACCCCTGTCTGCCAGGTGGAGGCGCTCCTGACCACGCTGGAGAAGAGCAGCCAGGGCGTGCCGGTGGCCCTGCAGAGGCTGAATCAGACCCAGCCCCTCCCGCCCTCCTCGCTGCAGCGCTTCCTGCGGGCCCGGAACATCTCGGGGGTGGTCCTCGCTGACCACAGGGCTGCCTTCCACAACCGGTGAGGGTCTGCGAGGGCTCGGGGCTTGGGCGGGGTCCGTGGGGCACAGGCAGGACCCCGGGGCTGGGGGGTGTGGAGGTGGCCCCCTGCCTTGGCCAGGCCACCTGGGCTCAGCTGGCCTGGGCTCACCATGGCCTCCGTGCACAAGCCCAGCAGCCGCACGCCGCAGGTGGCTGCCCCAGGGTCCTCGTCACCGTGTCCCCACATCCAGCTTTGGGGACAGTCCCCGTCCTCCCCCCTCCCCCGATACCATGATCAGTGGACACTCTGGGGGTGCCTGCCCGCAGGTATTACGAGAGCGTGTACGACAACCCCGACAGCATCAACGTCACCTACCCGCAGGGCCAGAGCCCGGAGGAGAGCCTCAACCACGTGACCGACACGGCCAAGGTAGGGGGCGGGGGGCCGGGGCGGGGTCACCAGGTGCCAGGAGGGAGCAGGACGGCCACCCATCTCCTGTGACTTGCAGGCCCTGGCGGACGTGGCCACGCTGCTGGCACGGGCCCTGTACCAGCTGGCCGGAGGTGACCAGTTCAGCGCGTCCATCGAGGCCGATCCCAAAACGGTAAGGCCAGGGGCCAGGCGCTCTCCCTGTCCCCCGCGTGAGGCCGGCCGGTTCCCGCCGGCCTCTCCCGGGGGGGGGGCCACGTCACGGCTCTGCCTCGCCCCACGCAGGTCACCCGCCTGCTGTACGGCTTCCTGGTGAGACCCAACAACTCGTGGTTCCAGTCCTTCCTCCGGCAGGACCTGCGCCCCTTCTTGGGTCAGCGGGGGAGGTGGGGTGGGGTGGGGGCAGGGTGGAACTCCGGGTCCTCGCTGCCTCCCTCCGTCCTCCCTCCCAGCGCCCCCCTCCCCGGCTGGGCTCCCCCTCCGCCCCCTCACCGCCCGCCCTCCGTCCGTCCATCCGCAGGGGACGGCCCCCCACAGCACTACATCGCGGTCTCCAGCCCCACCAACACCACCTACCTGGTCCAGCACGCCCTGGCCAACCTGACGGGCACCGCCCTGGGCCTGACCCGGGAGCAGTGCCAGGACCCCAGCCAGGTCCCCGGGGAGGACAAGGAGGTGAGTGGGCGCGGGGCGGGGGCCTGGGGGGACGCGGGGTGGGCGGCGGGCAGTGGGCGGGGCCAGGACAACGCCCCACCTGTGTCGTCGTGTGTCCCCCCCCCCCCCCCCCCGCAGCGGTTCGAGTACATGTGGGTGCAGGGGCCCCTGGACGGCAACCACAGTGAGCGGCTCCCGCACTGCGTCCGCTCCACCGTGCGCCTGGCCCGGGCCCTGTCGCCCGCCTTCGACCTGGACCAGTGGGGCTCCACCGAGTACTCCACGTGGACCGAGAGCCGCTGGAAGGACATCCACGCCCGCATCTTCCTGGTGGCCAGCAGGGAGCTAGAGGTGGGGCGCAGGCCGGCTGGCCCTGGGGCGGGGGTGCGGGGGCGGGGGCCGGGGCCCTGCTCAGCCGCCCGCCCCGCCCCTCCCCTCCCGCCCGCAGCTCATCACGCTGACTGTGGGGCTGGGCATCCTCGTGCTGTCGCTGGCCATCACCTACTGTGTCAACGCCAAGGCCGGCGTCCTGTTCATGGCGCCCCGCGAGCCCGGCGCCGTGTCCTACTGAGGCCGTCCCGGACGGACAGAGCCGCCCGCCTGCTCGGAGCCCGGCCGGGCTGGACCGGAGAGACGGATCGACAGCACAGAGCGGGGGGAGCCCCCCTCCCGCCCCTCCTGGCCCAGCCTTTCCGGGGGCCGTCCAAGCCCGCCGCCTCCCGCCCCTCCCGGCCCTGCTCCTTCTCCCCACCTCCACCCTGCAGGGTCCGTAATAGAAGCCTTGTGCCCTCTCTGCCTGCGTCCTGCCCCTCCCTCCTCCGCACCCTCCCCGCCCCCGCCCTGTCCTCACGGGGACACCCCGCGACTCCGGCTGCCTGGGGAAGGGAAGAATGGGGGTCCCCGGGGCCTGGGAGTGGGTTGGGGGTCTCTGAGCCCTGAGGAGTGGGTTGGGGGGGTCCCTGAGCCCTGGGGAGCAGGCAGGGGTCCTTGGGAGGTCACGGGTCCCCTGTGCCCCACCAGGACCCAGGCGGCAGGACGGCCCCCCGAGTGTCTACCTCCAGCCCCGGCGCTCAGCGGCCGCTGTCCCCGTGTGTAAATGTATCACTGAGATGTAATTAAAGCGGCCGCTCTGCGTGACCCGTGCCCTGTGCTCCTCTGTCGGCTGCCCCCCACTGTCCCCTGTGCGTGGCCATCCCTGCAAGGGAGGGGCCGAGCACGGGCCCTCTCTGCGGGGGCCTGGGCCAGCCCCCTGTGTCCTCGCCACGTCCGCTGCAGCCCCAGGGCACCCCAAGCCGGGCCCTGTGGAGGGGAGCAGGGGCGGGGGTTCTGGTGGGTGCACGGGGCTCTGTGCAGGGAGAAGCTGGAGTTGGTGGGGAAGAGCCTAGAAGGGTCCAGAAGGGTCTAGAAGGGCCTAGGTGCAGCTCTGCTCTGGGGCAACGTGGCAGGGAGCGCCAGGAGGCCCCGGCCGTGATGCAACCCTGGGCAATTGTGTGCCCGCCCGGGAGGGACCGTCCCCACGCACCCATGCTCCTGGGCTCCTGGGCGGGGGGCTGGGCATGGCCGGAGGGAGGGGCCAGGCTGCTGGTGACAGATGGGTGGACACAAAGGGAAGGGTGGTGCAGACAGATGGCAGGAGACGGGCCGGGGGCAGCCGGGGCCCTAATGAGCTCGGAGAGAGGGAGGAGGAGGAGGAGGAGGAGGAGGAGGAGGAAGAAAGCCTCTAAGAGACAAAGAGTCTGGGCCCCAGGCTAGCCAGGCCTGGAAGGGACAGGCTTCCCGCTGACCGCCTCCTGTCCGGGGCCGAGGGGACAGTTTCCCGCTGACCACCCCTGTCCAGGGCTGAGGGGTCAGCTTCTTGCTGACCGCCCCTGTCAAGAGCTGAGGGGACGGCTTCCCGCTGAGCCCCCCGTCCATGGCCGAGGGCACGGGCTTCTGCTGACCATCCCCTGTCCAGGCCTGGAGGGGATGGACTTCTGCTGCACTGTCTATGCCAGGCAGACCGCGTCCAGAGCCACTGTCCCCTGCAGACACACAGCCTGGAGCCCAGGAAGGCGGTAGACCCCTCGCCCTCCTGGCCAGCCACGGCACTGCAAGGGTTAACGCCGCCTGGCGGTCCCCAGGGCTCCCCACATATGTCACCTCTCTCCTGCCAAACCCCCCCCCTGCCTTGCCACTGCCATGATACAATGGGCCGCAGCCTGACGTGTGCCCCCCTCCACGGCCGGCCCCCCAGGGCTGCTAGACCGTCACCCCTCTGGCACACACGGGAAGGCTCGGGCTGGCTCCGTCCCACGGACCCAGCCATCACTAGGCTGCATGGGGGCCACTGGGGTGTCCACGCGTGGCGGAGAGGCCCCCAGACCTCACTCCACCCTGCGTCTCTTCCCTTGACCAATCCTCAGCGCTGTCCACTTTGCCCTCTGAGGGAGAGGGGCGTGTGTGCGTGTGCGTGTGTGTGTGTGTGTGTGTGTGTGAGTGTGTGTGTGTGTGCCGCGCCCAGGCCACTTCCCAGCACCGGGGCTCTGGCCTCCCTGGGGCGCCCTCAGGGTGGAGGTGGATCCCCGCCCAGGCTCGTTAGGGGGAAGATGGGTTTTTAATCAGCGCCCTGGCAATGCTGATGCAAGCCGGGAACCACCTGCTCCCACCGCCGCCCGGCTCCCTCCCCTCCACTCAGCCCATCTGCTGGACCCGGCACCTGTCTGGGCCTGCCCAGGTGGGAGCCCGGCACCTCAGCGCCTGGCCTGGGAGCCAGTCCCCCCCCCCCCCCCCCGGGAAAATGGGGGAAGGCGGCTGAGTTGCTGGGCAGAGCTGCGGCCCCTACGCCGCTGTCCCCACTTCACGGAGGCGCGGAAGTTCCACACGGAAGTTCTCCCAGCTGTGAAGGAGCGGCAGCACCCTACCCTCGTGGGCCTGCTCCCGGGGCATGCCACACCTGCACATGTGTGCGTAAACATGCCTACACACACATGCACACTGACATCCTGCACACAGGCTTGCGTGCACATGAGTGCGCCTGGACACACACACACCCCCACACGGGAGTGCATACACACAGACATGACGGACACGCAGAGAGATACCTGTACACGCGTGCAGATGCGTGAACACGCCTAGCGCACGCATGCGGACCCACAGGGCCATCGACAATGCCCTGACATATTGCACGTGCATGTGCACTGACACGTGTGCTCATGCACTCACAGTCACTATACGGACACGCGTGCGTCAGCACATGGGTCCTTGGACTCCTGCACACACGGGCACAG